TGATGGTATGTGAGCTTCTGTCTCATTCTTCCAATTGGCTGAAATCCATAGAAAAATGGTAAACAAATTTCGAATGGGCTCATCAATCTTACCATCACGAGATTCTTTCCATCAGACAGTAATAGACAATACACACACCAACACACACGTACAATGTAGCTACGTATGGTAAATCTGTTATATGTGAATGTCTGTCTGAAAGCTGTCTCATCACAGTGTAGCCAAAAGTTAGTTCAAACCTCAAATATTGTCGTAAACAGACGCTGTAAATTCCATCTGTGCTCATGGTCACGTATACCCAGAAATTTAATGGATCACGTTATTTTGAATATTGAAAATGATAGACTGAGTGACAATTTACCTTTCACCAAAGACTAAATCCGACAAGTTTACTGTTTTAGGAATATTTAGTACCCATGCTTCACAGATTAGGGAAGAATTATATATCCAGTTTGCTGTAGCTTTTCTCTCCAGAAATCGTGTCAGCAGTTCGTTTGTAGTTGAGATGTAGCTGTAGCAGACTAGTTGATTTGTAATTAAATTGTAACTAAGCGGGAGTTGAAGATCGGAAAGAGTGTAATAAAGACTTGGTGTCAAAAAACATAGTTAGATATGATGGAAAAGATTTGAAGCTCAGCTGGATGATTTGAAGTATGCGCTGAAGATGTCACCCAGTAAGGTGATGAAAGCTTCGCAAACTAACCATCCAGCTCAGAGAACAAAACCACACCAAAATCTGTCATATTGAGTCACTTTACCAAGCATATACAAGTTCACTTGCTCGTGTGGAGCTGAGTACATTAGTTGCAACATGCGTCCGCAAGCAAAATGCTCGCGGAAACACTATCCAGCATGGCTAGCAAAGAGAGAACGCAAAGGGGTAAACATTTTGATAAGAGAACACCTGGTGAATTCTGGACACTCAGCCTCATACGACAAATCCTTCAAAGCTATATATCCAATCCAATCTAACTTAGGAAACGGAGTGAAATCAAGACATCTAGGAATGGCTGAAGCAATGGCTATCTCAAAACTCAAGCGCACTCTATGTGTTCAAAAGATATACGTTCAACCGTTGTCCCTACCATGGCCATCATGAAAATTCAGTCTCACCAACAATGATTTCTTTATGTTTACCTTATAAATCCATATCTACATTATTTGATTACTGTTTATTACAGTTAGTAGTTTTCTTATTCTGACCTCTGACCGGAAATAATTCTGAAACTCTCTCACACATTTAATATAAATAAACGAATGTAAAGCCTAGTTGATGACTTCGTCGAAAAGGAAATTTTCTTCGCTGCAACTGTCTTTTTAGTATAACCATTATTGGAGTTTGTTTCCGTACTCATGTGGCTCACACCTGTCCTCAATAAAAGCTGTTTTACTTATTGAGGAATTATTTGTTTAATCTTGTGTAATTTTGTTCCTAATCCCCTCGTAATGTATATTCACGTCTTTGAAGTTTCATATTAAGCTGAAAACTGTAGTCAGCTTTATTCTCCATCGTTAGTGTGTAGGACAATATAATAATTTTATATAATTATATATAATAATTTAAAATTTTTTGGTGTGTTGGCACCGAAGACACCACTCTGGGTGGATTCTGAGAAGACAGAGGTGATGAAGATACCCATGCGAAAACAAGAACAACTAGTACCAACCACTATCAACGAGTGAAATTTGAAAGAGGTCACTTCCTTCATTTATCGAGACAGCCAGCATTGTTTCAACAAAATATTTCAGGCTTTTATCAACAGCTGCCCTCACTTTATATCGAAGATGAAATGCCTAATCAAAATGAAATAGGGACAAGAAACCATGGGAAGAAATCAGCCAAGAATTCATCATTCAGAAACTAGTTAGGAGTAAAACGGAGGTGTATAAAGCACACACTGAGGAGACTGTCAAATGACATCGCGCGTTAAGCCATCACCCGAGTAGAATCCGAATGGAAACGACAAGTAGGTCGTCAGTGGTATATTGATATGGAAGAGATCCTTTGAGGAGGAGGAGATGAGAGATAATTGGCAATCAAGGTTTCAGCTCAATAGGAATGCAATGATTAGCAGAAAGCGGAGACGTGCTGTTGAAGTCCTATGCTGCACTCGGAACCAAAGGAAATCACAATAATAAAATAACGTGATCTTATGTACATAAATGTGACTGTACGGCTTCTGAGGATGAAACAGCCGAAAAGATAACTTCCATCAACATTCTTTCTTTAAAGGTTTAACTACGAATAAATCCTGTTTGTCGCATGCTTAACCATCTTGGATGATGTTCGGAAATACGATGACGAATCTGCCTAATTGTAGGCCTTATGTAGCTGGCCTCACAGCTGCAGTCAAATTAGTAGATACACATAGAGGAGGCAAATTTAGGTAGTTAATTCTTATTTCTCGAAAGTAGAGTAGGGATGTTTGTTAAGATACAAAGTACCTCTGCTGCATACTAGGCTCTTTTAACTGCATTCTTCAGGCGTTGTGTTATTATTTCACTGATGCCGTCACCGAGGATGTGCAGTTTTATCAGCATTGGTTTTTTTTGGAACTAATGCCGTACTGACTATTTCAGGTGATGAATACATATTTTATTCAATGAACTTATCTGGATAATCACTTTATCCAAGTGATTCTGTGATAATCTTAAGCTTCTGATTGGGATAGTCGTCTGAACAGATTAACGTAGCTCTTTGAACTAGACACTTTACCAGGTTACGTTTACTTCTCAAAGGTGGAAAACTCAAAAAATGAGTGTATTTACCTGCTGTTGTAGGGTCCCTACACACACTCCTTCTTAGTGTGCAATCTTCTTTCCTTATCACGAAGATATCTAGGAATGAGATACTATCATTACTTTCTTTCTCAATGGTGAAGTTTATTGCTGAATGATCATCATTAAACGTTCCGTGGATGTTCATTGCATCATTCTCGTTTCTCCTAACCAAAAATGCATCATCCACATGTCGACAGTAGAAATCCAAGTCGTTAATTACTCCTTCCAGTGGTCCACTCTTTAACCTAGAGAGGAAGAAATCAGCTAGGATTGACCTAACGGGGAACCCATGGCTACACCATCAGTTTTTCTGTAATATTCCCTTTTGAATAAGAAATGAACATTCATTGTGCATCTTAAAATAAGTTCCTTAAAGGAGGATACGGAAAAGCAGATATCTATGTTTCGCGTAGTAATTTCATCACATATAAGATCCACTGTCTCTATCAGCGGTACATTGGTGGTCAAGAGGGATACATCAAAAGATATCACAAAACTTGTCACTCACATTTTTTTCGAAAAATTCAAAACTACCGTTTACGCAATGCTTTACCAAATCATTATGCAGAGGTTTCATGAGCTCCACTAACCATTTTGCTGTTGGAGGATATGGGGAATTGCACTTTTCCAACACTGGTCAAAGTGGCGAACCAATTTTATGCACTTTTGGTAGTTCAGATAATCTTGGTGTAACCATGTCAGTGGGGTTTAGAGATTTATATAAACCTTTTATGATGCTAGTTTGTTGTTTAAGTCTTTTTTAGTAACTCAATAATTTTATGGGAGTTATTTTCTGCATTTTATCAACACACATATAGAAATGATTCCTTTGAATTTGCACGTGTACTTCGTGTTCTTCCTAAATAAGCGTGGGATAGGTTCGTATTTTAAACAGCAGGAACTGCTCTGTTTTTAATTTTAAACTATTTACTCCTCACTAGAGTGTTCATCTGTGACTGAGTTGTAAAATTTGTATCAGCCGCGTATGAGTTCTAGTCGTTTATTTCAACAGACTCACTCCAAAACTTTGCTTATCCGGTAGGGATAGGGTTGTTTGTTAGGCTAGCATGATCACTGCGTAAAAACGAACACTACCGCTTCTGAAACCTGAAACCTCATGCTTAAGGCACTATATTTCATCCAAAACGCCAAGGAATGAGAAAAGTACTCATCGTAGTCGTCGTACAGAAGAAGAAAGTATTAGAGATTTTCTCAGTGATTCTGCTGCTGTATTCCCTATGTTCTATAACTAAGCTGAACATTAGCTGTATAAAATTCACAGAAACCTCCACCTTGTAAATCTTGAATATCAATATGATACCAGCGCTTATGAAACTACACAGCTCAAGCTTATAGCTGTATTTTTCATCCACAAAGCAAAGGAATGAGAATAGCGCTCAACGCAAGTGTCAGATTAAGAAGAAGAAGCCAATGAAGCCTGGAACCAAATCTTGTCAATAAGTAATTTCAAAACTCAGGATAATATTTTTTTCTGTTGTCACCGTTGTGATTAAACAATAGACGAAGTGAACTATTCCAGTGATTCTATGCTCAAGTTTAATCATTTGTAAAAATCACAGGATTTCACACAAATTTTCACCCTTTTGAATTATTAGAACAGCTCTCAAATTTATATTAGCTTGATTTTACTAGAAGATGAGTAGAAGTGGAATCAAGGGGATATGTTTTTCATCCCATTTAGAGTTCGTCAGCCAGCGGATGTACCTGCACCCCTTGAATGAGTGATAGATGATGTATTCACTAAGACTCGATCCCAGAACTCACGGTCTGAGCAAGAAATTTATATAACTGCACACTGATAATTCAATCATTTTCACTGTCTCATATTTCTCAATAAAACTATTCGAAATGACAATGAATAAACATTGCCAAAACTGATTTGTGTATATACGTGATGTGTCGATATTTCATTTTCTTATTTTTCGATGTTCAGCATATTTTCTCTCGAATGAATAACGAAGTTTCGAATGACACGTTCATTTGATTGATAGGTGTTGAATACCTCATATGATTTGGTGACGAATAGCAATCAAAGGATACCGCTGTTGAAATAATAAGAATTTCGAATATTTGAGTTAAGAAATGACAATCGAGGTATCAATTACCCTCATTTCTGTGTGTTCTACCTCTCCACCCCTTTCATGAAAGAGAAGGTATGACAGTTTGCTTTTATCGCGTGTTTTCAACCAGAAAAAAAAGTGTATATAAAGAGTCGAGTTTTCGAACTGTTTTAAGTTTTCTTCGCAAACTTTCAAACAAAGAATACCAATGTTGTTCATTTCTCTGACCGTCATTGTGTTTATAACTGCCTATGGTAAGTAACTTGTATTCTATTTCAGCAAATATATTGAGTTACATTACAAATTTTGTTTTACATTGTATATTATAAATAGCGTTTGAATACAAATCCGGATTTTCTGTCGGTGTTAAGTGCAAGATATATTTTTTCGGTCGATGTTGACTAACAAGGAAATCAAGAATGTTAATTTAGTCCTATGTTGGTACTCATTAGCTAAGTGTACCTGTATCATCAGTGAGTGACGTACGACCTTGAACGCATAACCCATCATTTCAAAAGCCAATGTTTCGCCCGCTAGGCCACTAAGATTATGAGAGTCACAACTTGTGCAACAGATATCAGTTTTCAAGTATTTGGTTTTATAGGGATCGTGTTTATTTGGTTGAAATGTTTCATGGTGAGCTAATATCAGCTGGAGAAACACTGGAAAATTACCTGAGAGTACTGAACAGCCAGATTAATATATGCGGGAAACTTGGACACGGTGGTCGTGAGCAATTCCATATTAGTTTGTTTATTAGATGTATCACACAGTCAGTGAGACAGTATTGTTTACTGGATGACGGACGTTTCAAACAAAATTTATCAATGTTCATAATCATATCAATTCTAATCACACAACTTTGAAACTTGAGTCTTATAGTTTTCTTTGTCGTCTCCTATTTGTCGTCAGGGTAGTAGAATTTTCCAGGTGTTGAGTCATTCCTGTTACGTGTATTTGCAGTTGATTTGATAAACAAAGCTTCTGTTGCCCATCTCTCCCTCCGCCCTGTAACATTAGATTATAAAATTGTCATCCTATCCCATTTTATTGTATGGTTGTGTGTGATTGCATGTAATGCTATGGCTGAACTATTCTCTAGATTTCTTATCTTATTTGGGTGAACCAATCTAGATTTTGCTGCTAGGTTTTTATGTTTGGTTAGTCTGAATGCCCCTGTTCTACTAGTTTGACCTATGTATTTTACCAGACAATCATTATAGCAGGTAAACTAAATTAATTTGTTTTAAAGGCTCCACAGAATCCTTTAACCGACAAAACGTTTCTAATTGAGTTTGTGGGTTTGAATGCCACTTTTATCCCAACCTTGTTAGGAATTCTGCTCAAGGCTTCCGAGGTTCCTTCCTTGTATGGGATTACTGTTGGTGATTAGATTCCTTATTGTTGATGTCGTCATTATTATTATCACTATAATTGTCATTATTATTATCATCACTATCACTACTATCATTATTTATTTTATTTTTACATTGCCTTACATATTTCCTGACTAATTTATCCGAGTAATTATTTAGTTTCAATGCTTCCTTTATGTGTATCACTTCTTGTCTTAGATTTTCCTTAGTACTACTTAGTTTTGCGCTCTGTCACTTAAACATTTCATCATTCCTATTTTCACTGATATAGAATTGGATGATCGGAAGTCCAAATATCCGTTTGAATGTGTGGGTTTTCTGTAAACACTAGTGTTTAGCTTCCCATCTTCTTTAATTTTACGTTGCGATCTAGCTTTGGAAGTTCCCCTTCCTGACTTTCCAATCCATAAGTGAATTTAATTGCCTCTACCTTCGAGTTGATGTGTTCGAAAAATATACTAATATCTTGTGTTCTATGTACAGTGAATTTGTCATCTACATACCTCCACCATACTTTTGGGGTTGGGGTGAACGTTTCAATCGCTATGCTTTCCCATCTATCCATGAATATATCTGCTACACGCTGGAATATTGGTGATCTCATGGCAACTTTGTTTGTATATTTTCCCTTGGAGTTTAAATACTGTGGAAGTTAGGCACAGCTGTACTCCCAGCATTATGTCCTCAAGCGGTGCTTATGTCCTAAGTTCGAGTTCTCGGTCAGAAATGAGTTCTTTTCTGACTGCCTCTATAGCTATATTTATTGGTATAAGTGCATATAAAGTGACAATGTCAAAACTAACCATTTTTTCTCAATTATCTAATTTTAAATTATCTAATCTGTGTTTTAGTTCATAAAAATCAGTTAGTCTACATTTTGAGTGGCTTTTTTGAGTGACTTAATACCACTGCTAAATATTTAGATAAATCATAGTAGTGGTGTGATACAGACAGTGTCTGCCAATAGAATATGATTCTCACATATTCCTACAGTTCACCTCGGCGTTATCAACAGAATATGACATATCTGGAACATTCTTTTTGATGTTAGAGACAGAATACGTCCCCTCCAACAGTTATATACTGCATTAACAACAGGATACTATGTGTATTTGAACATTCTATTTCATGTCGTTTAATGTAATAAACCAAAATCACACGCCTAAAGACTGGTTAAAGAATATATACTATATATACAACGGTCTAAATGCATTATTTGGTCTACTTTGTTTGAAGGTTGGTGGTTCAAAGCATCATGGTTATTTGATAAAACAAAATATGTAGTGGAAATATGAAAATATATGAAATGTTTCAGAATTCTGAGGGGTCAGGTTATGTCCTATCACAAACCACACTTGCCGTGCTCACATTTCACCGGAAGCGGTCAATGACGACTTATATTTCATCAGATAGTTTATTTTGACTTTATAGGCTTAAGGCAAAATTGCTGTAATCATAACTGATGTTGCTTGTGGCTGTTTTGAATGTATTTTATCAGCATTTTTGTTCAGCTAGAATGTATGTTGTGAGGGTTGCTCTATTCTCGTGATAGCTTTTATTCTTACTTGAAAGTCATTCAGTGGATAATTGAACCAGGTTTCTAAAGGATTGTCTCCTTGAATAGTTTCATATATAATACCGCTATGACTTTAAAATATTCTGGCTTGGAATTTATATTCATATGTCTGATAGATAGTTGACTACAGTGTTCAACATTCAATGGGTGTGGCGTTCATCTCTTGTAAATTGACGTACGGAATTTCTAAAGTTATTGTAATTCTCTTAAAATGAATGACGCCATTTTGATTTTCAAGTATTGATTTGTAGAGATTTGATTGGTTAGCAACAGGATTTCATCACGAACTGATATTGGTTAGAGAACCATTAAAAATTCCGCAGAAAGTAGTGGACAGCTGATTTGTCCTAGTTTGACACCCTTCAGAAGTATGTGCCCACCGCCAAGTTTTGAACCCACGACCTTCCGATTACAAAGCGAGCTAGCTCGTAGAGTATGGAGCCACTGGGACCCGATCCAATGGCAGTTCATTGAATTCCAACCTCTACTATTTCACAACATAGGGCGATCGTTAGCTGATGTCTTCGGTGAGTATTTTTTTCTCACGCCCAACCTACTACAAACTGCTGGTCACGACGTCCCCCACTAGAACCCTACTACAAACAATTTGATGTCGGCTGAATATTTTTACGTGTATTATATTTACAATCCGTCTGTATATCATTGAATTTTAGATTACGTATACGGTGAGTGAATATCTAGTCCTTAAATGATTGTGTTGAATATCCAGAAATTGTAGGTGGAGAGCACCATGGCTGTCAATCACGTCTCAAAAACCGTTAATGCCCAGCTCTTGCTACACCGGGCCTCTCGCTGTCCCTCGAAGCCTTTCAGAAACGCTTAGTACTAACGGCAGCGAAAACCAGAACACTGATTGGCGACTCGAGAATTCTTTATTCTAACACCAACATATAAGCATCATAGTAAACTAAGGTTTCTGACGGTTTTCTATGTTCTTTTTGAACAGCGACCGATGAGACGATGACTGGTGTATTGATGCCTCTGCGAAAATATAGGGAAGTTGGGTTTGAGCAAACAACCATGAATTGATCGTTCAATCTTCAATTACATTGACAAAGGTTGTTCAAAAACCACATTTGACACCAGTTTAATATACCACCTCTATGGATATTTATAGTTATTAATGACCGAAAAACCTGATATTAGTATTTCGTGGAAATTCGACTATCGGAAATACTATTACACTGGCCTGATAACAATACAGGAAACATTCCAGAAAAACAGAAATTGATTATGGATATGAAACTAAGTGGAATGTTGTATACTGTTTAAATCCTGTAAAGCTTCTTTTGGTTAACTTACTTAGTTCTGCAGTGACTACGGTCCTGAGTCTTATAACTGTGCATAGATTGTATTTTAAACGATCAGTTTTGATATTTATAATTGGGTGGTTGTATTTTCAAAACACCAACATTTTCTAAAACTTAATTTGATTTTTTACATAAATTACTTACATATATTTTAGCCACTAACAGTTATCGTAAGTCAGTTGACATTTAAAAATTTTTATTATCAAGTGGTGATATAATAGGATAACAGTTGAAGGCCAGCCGTTGAAGCATTCAAGCCAATAGGTTTATGAATGAACTAGAATTAGGTCACCTTTACCCTAATGCGTTTGGACAGTCTGCTAATACGTCAAAAAGCTGTGTTCAGCTGTACCACAGTTGGTATTCAGTAGAAAATGCATTAAATGTATTTAAATATGAAAATTATGAAATTCAGATTCAGGTCCCATAAACATCGAACATCAAGTACATGGAGCTTTTTGGACTAAAGTTCCAGTATCACTTATTGAATTCTGTTTGAGGAAATTTAGCGACGGAAATACTTTCCTATGCCACACAGTATCTTTGGCTCTGAATAATCACTACTTGAATAACGACGTAAAGAAATAATAAAAACTGACTGACAGCACCACTTCAGTGAGCTGTTTGATCATTAGAAACCTTAAAATTGTTTAACAAATCCTCTTTAAAGCTCTTTAATAGTTATTTCTATGTTTCCAGAAGATAGATCACACTAAAACGTCTGTTACATAGTTATCAATAAAAGATTCCTATGTTTATCAGTTTGATAATAGTAATAGGAATAAGTTACTTCTATTTTTCAGTTGTTCTACAGTTGTCTACCCCTAAGAATTAGCATTAACTAGTAGGATACAAGGCGTCGGCGGCACAGCGGTTTAGGACGCTCTCCGACTGTGCACACGATACAGAGTTCGATCCCCGGCCGACGCACACCTTTAGCTCACTAAGCCAGAAATAATGCTGGTAAAGAGGGAAGGTTGGGCATGAGTCTAGCAACCACATCCTGTAAAATAAACACTGATACAGAAACTTCAAGGTACCAGTTTGAAGCCCTATGTTCCACTGGGAACGTGAAGGAAAAAAGGTAGGATACAACTTATTATTATTATTATTGTTCTCTTGGGTTCCAAGTGCAACATAGGGCTTCAACTGCACGTATCTACTTGCTTCTGTCTTCCTTTTGCTGTCCTTTCACCTACATCCATGTTAGTCCAGACTCTTTCAACGCCTTTTCAGACGATCTCCTCCATGTCACCCTTGGACGTCCCACTCGGCACTTCTCCCTAGTCCTGGCTCTACTCAAGCAATGGCATGACGCGCGATGTCACCCAGGAGCCGCCTCAGCGAGTGTCTAATCCATCTCCACTTTTTCCTGCATATTTGTTGAGCAATTGGTTCTTGTTTTTTGTTCCCAAAGTTTCTCATTGGTGGTTCTTTCCGGTCATTTGATCTTCAATATAAAGCGAAGACAGTAGAAGACAACGTACTCCAATAGAAAATTTGAATGACTGAAAGGAATCCATAGGAAGTATGATAACTGTTGAGATTCTTGAAATCACTCTTTTATTTTAGCCTACGGATAATTTATGTTTTTGTTTAAGGGCATAAATCTATGGCATAAGGATTATAAGCTGAGCTATGCAGATGCTGTTTCACAAAATGATTTCATTTATACGACAGAAAGAAATAAAACATTTATGAGGACAACTGGTTCACTATCCTCATTGTGGACTGAACTACATTGTCGCTCCATCTGCCTTTAATATTCGAAATAAACTGTAGAACTATCACTGATAAAAAGAGTTAGAGTACAATAATGTAGGTGGCGATTTTCACGTCGTCTATCGTAACTGTCAATAGATTTACTTAGCCTTATACGATAGTAATTGTTAATTAACACAGAACTCAAACCATCTCAGTTGATTTCAACCTGATATTAATCTCATGATAATTAACAAGTGCATATCCTACCATTAATGTAAGTATAAACCTTGGACACTGTTGTAGAATATAATTCCATTATGACGTAACTGTGTTGTGGTGAAAGCTGTCTGCAAGTCAGAATCGTAGACAACAATTTATGTCAATGTTCACGTCCCCAATCAGGGGCATAAGAGAAACAATAACAAAGCTTAACCTTGAGAAAATAACCAGCCAGTCACAGCGAAGTTAAAGTGTGCAAATATGATTCACAGATAGATGACTTGATTGTATGAGAAACGGCCACAAACAGATGACAGAACAACCTTCAGCGTGAAAGCAATCAATCAGAAGCGGTTGTTTCTCCGCTAAAAATAAAACTCTAATAATAATATACGTAAAAATCTATAAATACCTCTAGATTTTCTCAATAAACGATCTGTTGCCTGGGCCTTGTCTTCTGTCGGTACAGTGTTACTGTACATGACTGTGAGCCTCTATCAAAACAAATCCCCCCTCATAATGCATATCACGCCATAAATCAGTTAAAATAATTGTTTATTTCATTTGTTTTCTATTTTTAGAATCAGAATGTAAGAAGAATGAAGATTTATTTTTGAATTCCCTGTTTCATTCAGTCTTGCAGACCTTTAGACACTAACGATAAACACTAATGTTTTATTGCATCTTCAAACATAGGTTCAACAGCTTGTGGTAATTGTAAGTCAAATCATAAATTAAAAAGACACTTTCTAAACTCTGGAGATCAACCTACATTTATTCCACTCCATCTTACTACACCTAAGTATCCATGAAATTAATGGAAGTGCTCAGCTACCTAAGTGAAGCATTAGTACACAGAAGCGGTGATGTATCTTATTGAAGAGATTAGTCGATGTGTGAATGGATGGAGTTAGCTAGCTTATATTCCTTTATTTGATGAAATCTAACTGCAGAGATGCAACAGCTTATCATTACCAAATGTTGTACATAAAATCCACATAAAAGAAGAAAAATATTTCTTACTGTAGAACAGAAACATTAGGGATTTTCTAATTTTTTGTAACAATAAGCCAATCCAGGTTATTGAGAGGTTTTTTTATTCGCCAATTAGAAGTTGCACACAACTGCTGATAACATAATAAAAACAACCAATTTTACACTTTTATTAAAGACTCTTACGCAGAAAGAGATTGTGAGTATATGTTTTGTTTAAAACAATAAATAAACGATGTGGTATTAAGCAGTAAACTAATGGACCAATATTTGTGTATACGTGGAATTTCTCCCTCATTTCAGACAGTCACTTATGACGCCTCTTTTGGGATTAATGAGTAAATAAATCACTACTGTTCGAGCATCAGAAGCACACAAGAGAAAATTACTGACTTACATTTGATCCAGAATTATAGATATGATGGAGAAGATTTGTAGCTCAAATGGATGGATGATTTTGATGTAGTTGCATTCTCTGAGCTGGATCGTTGATTTGTGAAGCTTTCCTTACCGTACTAGGCAACATCTTCAGCGCATTATACTTCAATTTGTGGAAGTGAGCTTTCAGATTTCTTCACGAGTTTAATAGTCATCTCTCTTGGTGGGTGACCTTGAACGTGAATACAAAAACAACCAATCACTAGGAGAGATGACTGATAAAATTGTGGAGAAATCTTCCACAAATCGAAGCATGTGCTGAAGATGTTGACTAGTAGGACAATTACAGCTTCACAAATAAACTATTCAGCTCAAAGAACACAACTACATCAAAGAAGATCTAGAATTATGCATAAAAAGCCTTATATCCGTTCGCAATATTGTACAAAGCCAGTTGAGATATTTCTTCACATATTCAGACAGAATATTCATTTTGTACAGTTCTGTATTTCACTTATTGAATAGACGTATTCCAACACTTAACAAAGAAATGAAAACTAGAAGGCCCAGCAGTTCCTCTTAGTATGGAACTACTGTGTTCTATATTTCTGGTTTGGTTGACGTCTTCCCGATAACTAATTGGCTATTTATCTGTTAATTGTTTTCATCTCCTTACCCTTTTACTTCAGGTGCTGGATTTTGTTCAGAAAGTTAGTAAACATAGATTTTTAATTTTTGTACAGCGTCTATGTAACGGTTAATAGAAGAACTCATTCACTACTTACACTACTATTGAATTAAGGAAAGCATTTTATGGTTTAATATATGTCGAATTAACAAAAAATTGCATCCTATTTGTGTAAAGAACTTCTAAACTACAATTCTGTGCCGGTTTCAAGTGTGATCGGTGGTACCGTTGGCTGCTGAAATGCGGGTCCATCTGGTTGACAAGTCTGAAGTACGATTCCAATAATAACTTCAGTCTAGTTCATAAGAAGAGAATATTAGTATGCGTTTACTACGAGATCAGACAATCTCTTGAATGAAATCATTCCTTATAAAATTAATTACAGTCTTTTTAATACTTATTAATTTATTGAAATATATCCTGAGGTAAACCATTTTTTCCATTGTACTTGTTGACAATAGAATGCACGCCTCAGATGGCTTCGTTTCGAATTTTTTACTATCATTCCCTAAAAATTATGAGTGAAATGTAAGGCTTTGACAGTATATCTCCTTTCCATCTTGTTACCTGTAGTCTTTTTTAGCCAGTCCTATAACTGTTCATAAGCCTTAACAATGCTTTTATGGCACTTTGTTATTTTTAAGAAATTCTTCAATTGTTGAAGATCAACTTCCTTTGCGGAAAAGGCTTTCATAGTGCAAGTTCATTCTTGAAAGTTATACATGTATTGTAGATTTCTTTTGAGAAATCTGGGGCGATAATTTATAATCGAACTTTCGTTAAGTTAAACCAAACCTTTCAGTTACGCGTAAAATCCTGAATAAAGGGTTCGTTTTAAATCCATCACCGTGTTACACAGTAATACAATAACGAAATATACAAACCTCTAATTGTGAGGCATCCAGTTTGTATGGTCTTAAGTAACTGTCATTATGCGTCAGTAAAATAATAAACTCAAGCTGCGTCAAAGTCCACGTGGGAAAAAACAATGTACCAGATACTGATAAACAATGTTTATCAGAGAAGAGGAAGTGTGAAGCAGATGCCACTTAACCACATGATGATAATTACTGCAGACCAAACTGAATGTTTATATAATGAGTGAAAAAATACCAATGGAAATCAATAAATTTAGTTACACAATGATGGAATGGTAAACAAAATACGACTCACGCTACTAACTACTGATTAGTAGTATAAAGTTTAGCGCAAAAGAAACAGTAATAAGTAATAAATATTACCTATTAACTTGATTCATTCTAACAAGGATTTATGAAATTTTGTGAATTTTTAATGGTCACAGAAATTTTATGAGGTTTAAAATGGAGTACAATACTGAAATAATATTTTTCCTAACTTTACAATGAGATAATTGACTTTGTTATTGTCTGGTAGTATATCTGCTAAGACTCGGACCAAGCACACATCGCCCAATGTAGCAAGGCTTAATTCACTAGATCACTAGAGGTCATCTCTAAGTCATATTATAATATGTGTATAATTTGGACACTGTGGTAGTAAGTAATTCCCTATTAGTTCGCTTATTAGATATACCACGCAGTCAATGAGACAGTATTATTTACTGGATGACGTTTCGAACGAAATTTATCAATGTTCATAATCATATCAACTGTAGTCACACGACTTTGAGATTTGAGTTTTATAGTTTTCTTTGTTTTCTCCTATTCGTCGTCGTTGGGAAAGTAGACTTTTCCAGGTATCTGGGACAGGTGTTTAATCATTCCTATTACATGTATTTGCAGATGATTCGATAAACAAAGCTTCTGTTATCAATCTCTCCCTCCACCTTGTGGCATTAAATGTTAAAACTGTCATCCTATCCCAACTTATTGCATGGTTGTGTGTGACTGAATGTAGTGAGTACTGAAGCTGAAAAATTTTCTAGATTTCTGTTATTTTATTTGGGTCAACCAATCCAGATTTTGCTAGATTTTTATGTTTGGCTAGTCTGATTGCCCCTGTTCTACTAGTTTGACGTATGTATTTGACCTGACAATCATTGTAGGCAGGGTTTTAGTTAAACTAAGTGGTTTTGTTTTAAAAGCTCCACAGGATTGATCCTTTAATCGACAAAGCTTGTTTCTAACTGAGTTTGAGGGTTTGAATGGCAGTCAGTTTATTCCGGCCTGTGATGTTGAAAATTCTGTGTAACGTTTCCGAGGTTCTTTCCTTGTATTGAATTACTACTGATAATATAGATTCCTTATTGTTAACGTCATCATTAATATTATTATTGCTGTTATCACTATTATTATTATCATTATTAGTGTTATCATTATTATTATAACTATCGCTACTATCATTATTTATTTCATTTTTACATTCCCCTACATTCTTCCTGAATGATGTATCAGGGTGATTATAAAGTTTTGAGCTTCTCATGTATGGCTCACCTCCTATCTTAGATTTTCCTTGGTACTATTTAGTTTTTATGCACTGTCATTTAAACATTTAACCAATCCTGTTTTTACTTACATAGGATGGGATGATTGGAAGTCCAAATATCTGTTTGAGTATGTGGATAATGCTGTAAACTTTAGTGTTTAGCTTCCCATCTTCTTTCCTTTTTACGCTACAATCTACCATTGGGAGCTCTCCTTCCTGACTTTACAGTCCATAAGTGAATTGAAATGGCTCCACCTTTGAGTTAATGTGTTCAAAAAATTTATCTATATTCTGTGTGCTAAGTGCAGTGAATTTGCCACCTACATACCTCCACCATAATTTTGGGGTGGGACTTAACGTTTCAATCACTAAGTTTTGTCACCTATCCATGAATAAATCTGCTACAAACAGGGATATTGGTGATCCCATGGTAACTCCCTCAGTTTGTTCATATATTTTCCCTTGGAACTGAAATATGTGGAAGTCAGGCATAGCTGCACTCCCAGCATTATATCCTTAAGTGGCACTTTTGTCGTAAGTTCGAGTTCCTGGTCAGAAATGAGTTCTTTCCTGACTGCCTCTTTAGCCATATTTATTGGTATACGTGTATATAAACTGACAATGTGAAGACTAACCATTTTTTCTCCATTATCTAGTTTTACATTATCTAATCTATGTTTATAAGAATTAGTTAGTCTGTATTTTGAGTGGCTTTTTAGGGAATTTAATACCATGGCTAAATATTTAGATAATTCATAGGTAGGTGAATTTCTAAAGTCAACTATAGGCCTATTAGAGTATCCTGACTTATGAACTTTGACAGCTACATACATCCTACTGGGGTTATTAGTTTTTGGCATTAAATTAAACCACTTAGATTCACCTAGAAATGGTTTCATTCGGCGTATAAGGTCCGCTGTGGATTCCTTAACTTTATTCATAACTGTGTCTATTGATTTATTAATTTCCTCATATGGTCCTGTTTGTATGTGAGTATTTACCTTGTCCAAATAGTCTGATTTGTCTAATACTGTGGTGAGAGCAGGCCGTGAGAAAATATGAGCAAGGCTGATTCAACAGCCAATCACAGCAAAGTTAACGTGGCAAAATATGATTCGCAGATAGAGAACTCTATTTGTCGAGGAATCCCGAAACAACCAATCAGAAGCCTGCGTTTGTCTGCCTAAATTCTGATAAACAACCAATCAGATGACTGCGCTTGTCTATAATAATGTATGTGAAATATGTATAAATACGTGTTGATTTTCATAATAAAACGATCTGTTGCCTGGCCCTTGTCTTCTGTTGTTACATTTGGTGTCGCTGCCTACCGACAAATGGAAAGCCTATGCCCTGCTGTCTTTGATGGAGACATATGGATCTTCGTGCAGGACTTCAAGGCTTCTGCGCAGTTGAGTGGCGTTAAAGATCTGTCAGCGATGGAGCTGCTACTTGAGACGCTGCTGGGAGGTCGGGCGAAAGCAGCATATGAAAGTGTTAGACGAAATACTGACGAATGTTCGACAGGGTCAGGCAAACAGTTTCCAAAGTGGGAAGGACCACATATTGTGACTTCGAGATGGGATTACGCGGACACAATCGCAATGACAAACAATGAGAGTCGCGTGAACGTCAGCGGGCTCCAGAAATGGATACAGCCAGACAAGCCAACGATGACGCCTGCACCAAGTAGATCAAGCCGACTTCAGTCGCACGTATTTGACGGGGGGACGAGTGTGGTGAGAGCAGGCCGTGAGAAAATATGAGCAAGGCTGATTCAACAACCAATCACAGCAAAGTTAACGTGGCAAAATGTGATTCGCAGATAGAGAACTCTATTTGTCGAGGAATCCCGAAACAACCAATCAGAAGCCTGCGTTTGTCTGCCTAAATTCTGATAAACAACCAATCAGATGACTGCGCTTGTCTATAATAATGTATGTGAAATATGTATAAATACGTGTTGATTTTCATAATAAAACGATCTGTTGCCTGGCCCTTGTCTTCTGTTGTTACAATACTACTGTTGCATTTCCTTTGTTTGACTTTGTGATTACTATATCCTTGTTATTCTTAAGGTGTTTCAGGGCTTCTATCTCTGGTTTTGTCAGGTTAGGCTTTCCATATTTATGTCGTTTTATTGCAAGTGCACATTGTGGCTTTACTTCATCAGACGTTCTTTTGTCTCTCCCACTTAGTGCTATTACTATTTTAGAAATGGCATTCTCAAGTTCCAACTTGTTTACTGATACATTGAAATTTAGTCAGTTTTCTAATACACTTGTTTCTGCAGGACTTAACATATGTGTTGAGAGATTGGTAACCCACTTTGTTTTATACATCGCCGTTGACTTTGGATTGTTGACTTCATAGTTCTGAGATGAAGATTTTGCCTCTAATAATTTGTTGAACATTTTGATTTGACTATTTGTGAAGTTTTTGAAAGTTGCTGATTTTGCGTTGCTACACTAATAATAATAATAATAATAATCACTTTATTCCACAACAATAACAATTTACAGCATGGAATTTTCAGCGTTTCTTTTACATATTGCAATGGTTTAGCTCTGTTTATAATTATATAAATATATAAAATGTTAAAATATTGATAGTTAATAGGAAAAAATAATAAAAAAATAAATAAAAATAAAAAACCCAACAAAATCATACCATTTCTAGGTCATAGTGAATAATAAATAAATAATATAACAAATAACACTTGCATTAATATGCATCATTACATTTTATAGTTTAGTTACTGATTCAAAAGTTGTAAAAGTTCTTTTCTGATATTTGTCTCTTCACACAATACTCGTGCCAAATATGGAACGGTCGAATTTTTATATTTTGTAGTACGAGCATAAATGTTTATAAAATTTCTTCTGGTCTTACCCGAAGAGATACAAGGAAACAATTGTGAATAAAGAGGATGTTCACTATCAGATAAGATAACTTTAGCTAAGTGTTTACAAGAATTCATATGCCTATTGACAACAGTGTCATTTAGTTCAGTCAAAGGGATAGCACTGACCCTACTTACAGCCCTCAATGTTCTTCGTAGTATTATATGATCTTTCTTGAGTAGCCCAGGGAAGAATAATGGAGAACAATAAAGAATGATGGGCAAAACACATGAATTAATAAATTGTATGATAAGAGATTGAGTTATACCTGAGTGTCTCAACTTCTTTATGTAATAAGTCAGACGGAAAACTTTCTTAGAAACTATAAGAATATGAGACGACCAGCAAAGATTTGACGAGAAACTAATGCCAAGATAAGAAACACTTGACTTACTCTCAATCATGGTACCATCAATATTACAACAATCATGAGATTGAATCAATCCATGCATGTCTTTTTCACTTCTCAAGCTGAAATCAACAGTGTTACATTTAGTTGGATTTAGTTTAAGACCATTTGAGCGAGACCAATCCTTAACTTCAGCTAGGAAGCCATTCATATAGGAACAATCCGATGTGGCAACTACAGGGACAGAAACGGTCAGGTCATCAGCATACTTAATGAAGTTAACTTTGGGTGAGTTCGGAAGGTCATGCAGAAAGAAAGAGAAAAGAAATGGAGAAAGTACTGCACCTTGAGGCACACCACTTTCAGTTAGCTGGGAAGTGGAGCGCTTTCCAGCCAAAACAGTATGCTGTTTCCTATCCTTAAAATAAGAAGACAGCCATCTAGTTGCCCAGGACTCTGTTTGTGCTGAAATCATCTTTCCTAATAAAAGTGTCCTAGGAACAGAGTCGAAAGCTGCAGTATAGTCTAAGAAAGCTGTTCGAACGAACTTAGCGCCCTTATCAAGGCAGGAAACAATATTGTGGTGTAGTACAATGGCTGCATCTAATGTACTTCTTCCACACTTATAAGCAAACTGCTTAGGGTCACTAAAAGCTTTTAAAGAAGGTTTAAGAATATTCAAAAGAAGTTTCTCCATAGTTTTCAAAAAAGGAGATGTTATAGCGACTGGTCTAAATTTTATACCTGCTCCAGAAGATGATTTCTGTACAGGTACAACCTTGATTTCTTTCCAGTCAGCAGGTACCGTTTCCCTCTTAAATGATGCGTTAAAGATTTGAGTAAGAGGATGACACAAGATGTCTGCACACTTTTGGAGAAGAATGCTTGGTACACCATCTGGACCAAGGCTGTGTGTTGGATTTAATGACTTCAAACATAATAGTACATCCTTTTCTTCAAAACCCTGAAAATGACCATTTTCTTGACTAGGTACATCAGGTACAACCATATTAATTTGTTTCTTGATAAATGATTTGTTTAAAGCATTAACATCAGAATAAGCATCAACGGACATTTGTTTTTTACTTGTTAGTTTATTGAAAAGTTTCCAAATGTTTGAAGGATTTTTACATGATAAAAATTTTTCATTATATAGTCTGTTCAACCTTTCTATTTCAATTTTTATAAGGGTGTTTATTTTACGGACACCAGTATTATCACAATTCTTATACAACTTCTCTTTTTGTCTTCTAAGTTTTTTCAGTTGCACAGAAGAGATTCTGTCAAATCTCGAAAACAGTGTTTCATAAGGACAGCAAATATCCAAACAAAACTTCAGATAATCGGTTATATTAGAGACAGTAGCATCCAACTTATCGTCAGTAAACAGTTCCCAGTTGGTATCATGCAACATGCTTCTTAATGCTAGAATGTTGTCATGGGAATATGAACGTTCATGTATCTTCTTTGTTAAATGACTAAACAATTTTCGTTGTGACTTGCCGTACACTTTCGGTAAAATACGAATAATGCAGTGGTCAGAATTTAGCAAAGGAGCTCTCCTTCGGGTTTCATATACATCACGGTCATTTATGAAAACCAGGTCTAGTGATTTGTCCAGACGTGTATTAAACTTGACTAGATTCTCATGACCAAGCGAAGTAAGAAAGCTGTGATCACATAAATTAAAATCACCACAGACTATAGACAACGAGTTTCCGAATGCAGGAGCAGCGAATTCAGTAAACTCATCTGCAAACATAACTATATTAGAAAGGCTACAATTGGGTGTTATGTAAATATTTGTTATGTATATATAAGAATATTTACTTAAGTGTTTTGGGCGACACCTGACGGTTATGCAATCTATATTGTCATTAGAATAATTGAAGCAAACGTGATTTGATGTAGACCAATTTGTGTTTATATATGTGGCTACCCCTCCTCCATATTTTTTCTTGGAACTATTTCTATCTTGGCGAAAAACTTTATATCCATTTATTGAAATTAGATTATCATCATAATGCTGGTGCAGCCAAGTCTCTTGTATTGCTAAAACGCCAGCATTTCGATAAACATTGGAATACATTAGGGATTGAAGGTAATCCATTTTGTTGGACAGGGATCTACAATTAGTGCTAACGAGTTCAGGAACAGTCATTTGATTAATTTGTGTACGTTTCAGTGCACGCTGCCAGCCACAGTGATGCTTTTTTCTCAATTTTTGTGGATGACACAACGCGGTAGGTTGTAATGATTTTAAAAATGCGCGATTATATATAATACGATTAGGACACATTATTGATAAATTAAAACAAAATTAAAAGAGCAAACCAAAGCAATTTTGCAAAATGTTGTAAGGTGGAATTTTTGGTAGCCCTATGTTCAAGCAGGCCGCCGTTTTTTTTTTACTCTCAATCATGGTACCATCAATATTACAACAATCATGAGATTGAATCAATCCATGCATGACTTTTTCACTTCTCAAGCTAAAATCAACAGTGTTACATTTAGTTGGATTTAGTTTAAGGCCATTTGAGCGAGACCAATCCTTAACTTCAGCTAGGAAGCCATTCATATAGCAACAATCCGATGTGGCAACTACAGGGACAGAAACGGTCAGGTCATCAGCATACTTAATGAAGTTAACTTTGGGTGAGTTCGGAAGGTCATGCAGAAAGAAAGAGAAAAGAAATGGAGAAAGTACTGCACCCCGACGACAAATAGGAGGCGACAAAGAAAACTATAAGACTCAAGTCTCAAAGTCGTGTGATTATAATTGATATGATTATGAACAATAACTTTTGTTCGAAATGTCATCCAGTAAATAATACTGTCTCACTGACTGTGTAATATATCTTATAAACAAACGAATATGGTGTCATCTTTAAGTAATATTTATTTATTTTACTTTTTACGTCCTGCGGTGAGGTTGCTAGCTTCAAAAACAACCTTAACACACTACCGGGCTTACTCCAGAGTAAGCGGGGCTTAAGAAATTGTCAGCTGGGGATCGAACACCCGACTGTCTGCGTGATTGGTGATTATTCTACCGCTGTATCACCGAAGCGTTGTCTCTTAGTGATGCATTCATTATTTACCAGATTACTGTAGTTAAAAGAAAATGATATCTAAGCCTTATAGAAAGAAATGACTGGAAATGCTTGAAGATTGTGTTTGGAATATTACTGGAAATATTTTTTTATTTATTCTCCATAGATGTTTATTATTAATTAATATGGAGTAGAAAGTTTCAAGTTTTCTCAACTATTGGAGAAAATTATTAAGAAATAATTTTTCCACTTGAATATATCTAGGTGTCGGCTCACAATCAGCCTTCTGTAAGCCCTTCAATATTGATTCATTAATGAAAGTTTAATTAATTAAATGTTATTCAACTAAAAAGGTTTTTTTATTTGAGGGGTTCATATGAAAGGTTTATTCAACCTTAATTTAACGCTTCATTTTGTTAAAGCACATTGAAAAATACCTATTAGCTCATGGGAGAAATCATGAACTTTAATATGAATCACATTGGTGAACTAGTCAGCTTTGGATCGGGTCAAAGAGGTAGTTTGCATTACTGTTGGTTCTTTTTAATTTCTTGAATTCCACTAGGATCATAAGGCTTCCAGCTTTTAAGTTCCAGTGGCTGTGACGTTATTTTCACGAAGTAAGGTTGATAGTCTCATGCTGCTTTTCCCCAGCCTAACTAGCAGTTGGTAGGCATTTAGGAGAAAGTCGTCCGGGAGTTGAACCCAGAATATGTACGTGGTTGGTGAGCATTCTATGAATGAACTACCAGCTTATTACTGTTGGCAATATTTTAAAAATGTTTACGTTCTCAGTGGAACGCAAGGTACAAGCTAGAGGCTTGAAGTTTCTGAAGCAGTGGTGATTATTTTTTTACACGATGGGGTTACTAGCCCCATGCTCAAACTTCCCTCTTTACTATTCTGACTACCGGTTCAACGAGGTAAAGGAGTGCGCCAGTGTCCTTTATCGAACCTCGGATCACCTGCGTAGTCAGCGAGTATTCTTCCGCTGTATTAGCGACGCACACTCTCGGCAAAGCTATTCAAAAATGTTGAATATGCCACTTAAATTGAGTGTTCTTAGTTCATCTAGCATATGTCTTTTGTTTTTTTGGATGATAATTACCGTATCTTCTCTTTCCTAGTTAAATGAAAGTATTTCATTAGATGAAGGATTTTAGTTTTCAAAATTTTTAATTCGTTTTACTGAGCGTTTGGTATATTGAATATGCCTTACTTGTCATAAAAGTGGTAAAGAATTTTCGTGCCTTTATTCCAGGTTATCTAGCATGCCATCAAAATTGTAAGTCCCTTTATCGGCTTGACATATTCACATGTAGGAGCTTATTAAAATGTAAAGTTAAGAATGTGAGAATGCAAGAAAAGCAAACATTATAATGTTCTTCTTTAAAGTACTTCACAACAACCTAAAATAAAATGAAGTTGGATTGTTATCCACCTCAAGGATGTTATTCATAAACCAGTTATCTTTGATACTTTATGCAGTCACTGGATGAAAATGTTTATAGTAAACACATACTATTTGTATAATTCATCTGTTGAAAACTTCTTTGTCAGGATGGGATTAATATTTAGTGATTTCAGTATTACTACAAGGTAAGCATTAGTATGGAAATTTAATAGCTGTTATTTGTCTATTTATTACAGCATCAAGTGTGAATGAGTATAACGAATGTAAGTCCCGGAGCTAATTTTAATCAATATTGAGTGGAAAGGGATTATCAGGAATCATTTACACTCTTAGCAAAATTTCTTAGGTTACATGAGGCATCTAGTGGTGTAGTGAGCAACTGAGTTACTAGAAGGTGACTGCAAATTCGCCTAGTTACTAGACTGTTAGATTTCTAACCAGTCCTAAGACAGGAAAAAGAAGGTGGGTTAAGATTGAGGGAAGCGATCCTCTCAGAGGAAAACAACCAAAATACTGCCAAAATTTCAACGCAAAAGAAAAACACAGAAAATGCAAAAAATATAGGAAACAAACTGATTTTTTTTGCTGGAATCCGAGATGCAAAATGACTCTACCTGGTGAAAGGCAAAATGGATTTCCCATGACAGACACACTAAAATAGGATATATTCCATCTCACTATGAAGGAAGTGGCAACGCAGACTGATGAAAACGGAGGTGAGAAGGGGTGAAGATAAGGAATTAGACTATTATCAAGACAAACGACTCCTCAAAATCAAGCTGAAATCCCTGAGAACGACAGCAGTAGGATCACAATTCAAGTTCAACACTTACAAACTGAAAGATGAAACTACAAGGGATGGTTTCAGTGCAGCTGTCAGACTCAAGTCGGAGGCGCTACACGGCATCACTGAAGAAACCTGCGTGGGAGGAAATTACAACTCTCCGGGTGCGATGTTCAATGAAACGTCTTCAACCGTTCAAGGAAGAAGTAAGAAACAAGACAAGGAATGGCTCTCAATGGGCACCTATGGTGAAGCTAATGGAAGAGAGGAGAGAGGGCTGGTGAAAGAGAAGATGAATCAATGCAAAAGTGGGCAACAGAAGGAGAAACTGATTTTTCTGCACACTGCACTAAGCAAAGAAGTGAAGAAGAGTGCTAGAAAATAAAAATGACAATGCTACGACACACTGGCCGGCAAATGAAAAAGAACAAACCACAGATAAAAGAGATCCCAGGAAAATATATCAAACAACCAAGTATCTATCCGAGAAGAGATCAACCAGATGATAAAACCAATCAAAGATGCCTAAACGGACTTAATTAAGAAGGAGGAGAAACAAATAAAACAATGAGTGGATCACATCAAAGAACTCTTAAATCGACCATCACTTTCGACTCGTCCAGATATACCACCATTATCAACAGCACGCGCAGAACTGTCTGCCAGTGGACAACAGTCCTCCAACAGAGGCAGAAATCTTGAGTGCGATATAGCTACTGGAGTCCAAGAAGGTAGCAGGGCACGACCCAATTCCCCAGGAAGCACATAAAACACATCCAGAGACTGTGGCAGTTGTTCTTTTGCCATAATTGCAAGGGATTCGGAAGGAAGGAAAACTCTACACCGATTGAAATAAACGCTGGCTTTATTGTCAGGCTACCTAAGTTGGGCGACTTGGGCCTGTGCAAGAACTGGCGCGGAACCATGCTGTCATCCACATCAAGTGAAAGTAAAGTCGCACCATCCCGGAGAGAATGAAAGATGTACTGGCTACTGAAATATACCCGCCGGAACAAGCTATATTCAGGAAAGGTAAATCATGCGCTGATCGAATTGCTATTCTGATCATCGACATCATGGAACAAAGCATAGAATTGCAGTCAGACCTATGCCTAAATTTGATCGATCTTAAAAGGCCTTTGACAGACAGCGTAGACCGTGAAGTAATTCGGAAATTAACTCAACACTATGGAGAGCCCTGAATCCTCATCAAACTCATTCATCATCTATATTGCGATAGTGATCCACCAAGTAAGACTCAGCGAGGCGTTCGAAGTGAATACAGGAGTGAAATAAGCTGGCTACCTTTTATTACCTACGGTGATATTCCCTTCTCTGGCGGACTGGATTATGTGTCAGAATTTGGGGAACGAGGAGACAGAAATGCACCGGAGCGCCGATAAGAAGACTCTAGAAGATCTAGATTTTGCCTATGGATGATTTATTTCTAATACCACACTAACTCGAAGACTTGCAGGCAGGTGAAAACCAATAAACTGGCAGCAAAGGCTCGCAGGCAAGGAAGACAGGACTGCAGGCGAACATAGAGAAGAATGATGTGATAAAGATAATCAATCAATAGCAGCAACAACCAGCATCTATCACCATCAATGAGAGAGATTTGATTGAGGTTAATTCCCTCACCTATCTAAGTAGCAAGCATCGTTTTAACCACAGGCTGTAGGAGCGGATGAAGATGTCAAAGTCAGTCAGAATCGAAAAGGCAAGATATGCCTTCATCAATATGAAGCCAGTTTGGAAATCTTTTGCACTTACTCAGCCAGAGTAAACAACAAGAATTGGAATTTCAACAGAAATGTGAATTCGGTCAGTCAGTTCGTCTCTACGAGTCAGAAACTTTCACTGTCTGTCACGAAAAGGATTTCTAACAGGTTTTAAACTTCTGTGAACAGCTTCCTTTGCTCCATACTGAAGATCAAATGGCTAGTCAGAAAGAATCAGCAGCAGGAAACTCTGGGAACAAACCAAACAAGAGCCGATCGCCTAACAAACATGTAGGAGAAAATGTATATGGACTGATCAAGAATACATCCAGTAGGCCGTCGAATGATATAGCACTAGCCAGGCCATCGCTTGAATGGGATCCGAATGAGAAGCGACGAGTGGATCATCAGTGAGAGTGTTACATGGAGTAGATCATGTGGCAAGGAGGAGATTAGAGACTATGGACAATCATGGACTCAGCTGAAAAGGACAGCACCAAATAAAAGAGATGGAGATATCTTGCTGAGTCCCTTGTTCGACTAGGAACCCAGGGGAACATTAACAATAATAACAATTTTTCTCAGAAATCTGGAAGGACTTCTGTAGTCTGTGTTTCGACTGAATAAGTCAGACCTTTCAGTTGCTTGTTGTATTAAAAACAGTGAAATCGTCTGAGGCACGGCGCAATACAAAAAATGAAATAATGAATAGAATTTACAAGCCTCAGATTGTAAGGTATCTACACTATATGGCGTGAAATGCGCTGTCAACATGAATCAATGGAAAAACAGTAAATCTGTGTCAGGGGCGATTGACGGTCAGGTTTAAAGCGCGTGAATGTCCATATAAGAAATAAAGGATTCGAATAAACAGTTTTCAACAGATAGTGGAGTAAAGATAAAGCATGAACAGTGGATACCGCTAAATAATAAGATGATTTGTATAGATTAATTGGAATATTAATACATTAAGCGAAATAAACTCATCCTACTTACTAGTGGTAAGTAGTATAAACTGAACACAAAGGAAACAGTAACAACGGATAGGTGGGATAGAAATTAACAAAGCCTCAATTTAGAAATAATTAAATTTCACTGAATATCAATGCCATAACAATCTTATGGGATAATTTTCTAATCAGTCTAAATAGAAATTTGAATTACCTCTTTAGGCAAAGGAAATTGCACGAGTGAGTTTATATGTAATGGAGAAATATCAAAATTGAATAACAAAATTATTTGAAGTCTTAAATAATCTCCAGCGCTGAAGATGTTGTCCAGAAGGACGATGAAAGCTCTGCAACTAAAATAATCAGGTTGATGGGGACACATGTCCAAACAAAAAATTACGTAATAGGTAGAACGAGTAAACAAAGGGTTGGTTGGGAAGAAGCTCTAATTAAGAGGTATGGGATCTTAGTAACATTTGATGTCAATAAAGGAGGATTTCATTGACTCCTCAACTTTCTGTGGAACTCTTCAGCCGAATGCTATGCAAACAATTATATATATATATAATTCACTAAAATCACCCTCATATGTTCCTTTTGTACATTTTCACACCCTCTTCACACTCCTTAAATTGACATTCAAGTACCTTTATTCTCACTCATCAACAATTTTAACCTTATCAGATTTCTAAATCTATCTTCCTTTGTGCCATTGAGTACTACGTAATTCACATTTTTTATTTTTTATCAATAAAGAAGCAGCAAAGACAGGACTCCAGGTGGACATAGACAAGACGGAGATCATGAAAATAACCGACCAATCAACAACAACAGCAGCAACATCCAGTGCCAATCACCATCAACATGAGGGATTTGAAATAGGTTACCTCATTCACTTATCTAGCATTGAGTATTTTCTCAACTACAGGAGGAACGGACGAGGATGTCAAATGGAGCGAGAATTAGGCAGGCGAGAATCACATTCATCAACCTAAAACCAATATGGAAATCTTTGTCACTTTGCATTAACAACAAAATTCGTATCTTCAATTAAAACGTCAAGTCAGTTCTTCTATATGGCCTTATTTCTGTAGGATATTTCTCGATAAATCTCTCAGGATAAAATATTCACATCACAAAATCTCCATTTCATATTTGATTGTATCGTTGGGAAACATTTTACGTACTGTGTTGAACAACGTTCTGACTAACTTCTTTTTATGTCACTTTAGTGGAATATTTGCACCACCTGGTCGAAAAATGCTGAAGTCAGCGTAGAAAACGTTTAACGACAAAGGAAGCATCAAATAGACGACGGGAATGATGTTCATGTTGTGGAGTCATTCACTGTTGTCAGTAAACAGACAAGAAAAAGGATGCTTGCGTTTGTGGAAGCCTGTGAAATTGGATTTTATATGCCCATTCTATGCAATTTCCGACATTTTCAAGTTCTTTTTTCCGACAACTAGTTGTTTATTATAGTTAAATAACTAAAATGTAATCCATTGTAACCATAGTTCTCATCTGTCATACCCGTTTCTCCTGAAATACCCAAACTTGACTTATAAAACATCCACATCTATCCTATTACAAGATTTATAAGTTGTAGTTTATTTACTTATTGATGTAACTAGCAACTTTTATCTAGTAGTATATATATATATGTATATACATGTCATTTTAAGTAGGGTATGCAGCTGAAGAGTCCTGCCAAAGTACAATCTGTCAATTAAAATCTATTTTGTTAACACTTGTTGGTTGTCCCCTTGGAGAAATTAAATTCAATTTCGAAAGTAATCACTAAGTGACGTTATTAAGAGAACCACTAAAAAGGCGGAAAATACTAGAATGAGAAATTAGTTTTATTCTGTCTTCAAAACGTTTTGTACTTCTATATCTCAGTTATATTTGACAAGAAAGTACTTTGGCTAGGAATTACGAAAAATATGGGTGTGGTTACTGCTCCTCCTTATTTGAAAACAATTTTATAATGCACAGGCTTTTCTTTTTACTATATTTTTAGGTTCGTTTTATATCTTGGTGTTTGAAATTCTACAGTCTTCTAAATGCACTTCGTTGATGTCGAGGGCACTTTTTGAGTCACTATGCTAATAAGCGTTTTGTTGAGTCCATATATCTCAAATATATGATAGTTAAGATAAGTTTTAGTTTCATTTATGTATTTATATTTTAAATGTGATACTGTCTTTTTCATTATAGAAGAAAGAGTGAATGAACAAAATTGTACGTGGATGTTGTAGTTTATTTTAAATATGGGTATCGTAATTATTTTGGGAAGTTACGCTTAAAAACATGTTCATATCAAGTGGTATTAAAAATACAGACTGGATAGATAAATCTTTGAGTTTTTGTTATCTCAATATTCTCTATGATGACAAAGTTTTATGTATTTTTAATTGACATTATTTCAATCACTCCGGTACACTATGAAACTTTAATAACTGCTAATTTCTTCAAATAATTTCTCCAGAATTATCGTTTCAATGGCAATTAAACAAAATTCCCTTCAAAAGCAATACTGGGAAATTAATCTGATGATCAGTGGCGATTGCCCCTACTCAGGCAGTGAACTTACGGGAAGCTGGGACCAGTAGGATACAGCAGATTGAAGGTATGGCAGTAACTCATCTAAGTGGCAGGAGTTATCATTCATGGGCTGGCCACTGGATCTGGTCCCAGTAAGTTAACGGTCTACGAGCTAGCTCGCTTTTTAACGAGAGAGTTCTTGGCACGAACCCTATCGTTGGGTCTGTAGTGTGAAGAGTACCACACTAGGATGAAGCAGCTGTTCAGTACTCCCAGGTTTTCCAATTGCTGTCTAACTGATGTTCGCTCATGATGAAGTCCTTCAACGTTTCAACATTACGTTTTTCTTGCAGCAAACTCATAGTAGAGCAATCAATTATCACTCAATTTCCAAGAGATGTTCTTTCCTCACTAGTGTATACATTTCATTGCAGAATAATTTCAATTGGTAAAAACACCTAGTTATAAAGTATTATATATTGATAAAGTTTTGACCACATTTTATCGCCCAGAATCATATACTGTCAAATAAATCTTTTTATAGGTAAGGTCAACTGCAATCATGTCAGTAAGTTGCCTAACATTGGCCGATTAGACACTGTTTCAGTTTAAATCTCGATTCCTAACTATATTTATTCGCCCTTAAGTACCTATGAATTATTCAGCTTTACATAGTTAGACTATGTACATGCCCGCTGTTTAATCTGCCTGTTCAGAACAAATTCCTACCTTCATGAAAACGGAATGAATAATAATAATAAATGACTAATGAATTTTGAGGGCATTTGTATTATCTTGTGCGGAGTTCCCTAATACGATTATCCGGATCTTCTGTTCTTCTCTATCGGTGCAAGAAAGTTGTCCAATTACTTGGTATATCAAAAGTTAAATGATGAATTCGGGATATTTTTTTGATAATGGTTAGCAGTGGGGTTTACTACACATCCTAAACTTGTGGGGCGGATGTCTTTGCATGCGACTGAGTCAAAATATTCCATTCCACTTCTCTGAATGTCAAAGAGTGATCCACAAGGCCATTGACAGGTTTTAAGTCGAATGAAACGTTTGTTCAGGATTCTACTGATAGCGAATTTGAATAAAGTAAGATCAACAGATTATGCAGAATAAGACGGTACTATCGTTTATTTCACTGGCCTCTCATCAGTAGCATGCAACCTACAGAAATCACCAAGTTTATGTACAGAACAGTTTCAATACACTTGCAAGTGTTACATATTGACAGTTGACTGGAGAGTCGAAGCTGAATAAGCACTCCTCATAAAATTATGCCTACGTAATTTATACCCAGAAAGTTCCTGTTTAAATGGAAATGAAAGCTTAGATAAGATGAGCAAAGAGTTACGTAATAAAAATAAAAAGTAAATAGGATGATGAGTAATTAATAATTTGAATAATAATGTGGTGATTTCAAGTTGGATCTTAAAAACAAGAGGCAAACAATTTTACACTATATAAAAGAGTGAAGGCTACAGCTAAAGATCACGTGATCAAATGAAAGAGATAGTAAAGAAATCGAGTTACCAGAACAAGGAATGGATGATAATTGCTTCCTTGTAAACTCACAAACTGAGTATCAATGGTTCAATAGCGATCTCTCTAGCGAACTTGAGGAGGAATGGACTCAATTTTAAGCTGTACAGTCGTATTTATATTACAGAAAAGGGCTATTAAGTGGCACTAAATAATTGCTCAGTCAATGTACGTATATATGTGATAAAAGTTATAAGGGGTAGAGTTGAAGTGGATAAATTACAAAAATAATAAAGATTATATTGAACGTTGTAAGAGTAATCTCCAAAAACGTGTAGCTGAACACTATCCGGTTTGGTTAATGAAAGGCGAACGTAGAACTGCAAAGTCGTCTATTTGTGATCACCTGTTAGAATCTGGTCATTTAGCCCCAAGTGATTCATCTTTCAAAGTTATCTACATGGCAAAATCGAATCGATCCAAAAGTTTACGTTATCTTCACTTATGCATAGCTAGCCGAAGCTTTAGCTATACATGAACAGAAACCTAAATTATGTGTTCAAAAGCGTTTTGTCAAACCCCTTTCTTTACCTTGGTCATAATAATGTTCTTTCTAGTTTTTATTTTATTTTACCACTTGAATTCTTTCCACTTCACTTCACATCTTCATTCTTATCGTAATCGTACTCCTAATTTTCAAAATGTTTAGAGAACACTTGACATTTTTGTTATAAAACAATCTTTAATATTTTTGTAATTTATCCAGTTCAACTCTACCCCTTATGACTTTTATCACATATATATGTATATTGACCAAGCAATTATTTAGTGCCACTTAATAACCTTTTTCTGTAATATAAATACGACTGTACACCTTGAAAATGAAGTCGTTGAAAAGAAATTTCTTAGCTGAACAAAAACTGCGTTTTTACTTATGAATAAATGGGTATTTTTCGAGAAATGTACTGTTTGGTTTATTGATAACTTTAAAGGATTTCAAGTTGTCAAGCTAATGATCTGTATTAATGACATGTGTCGCAATGGCACTATTGAAATTGTGTGTTTTATGTTTTGGTACTTGTTCAAAAAATCAGAGGTGTATCCATGTTTCACTTCTGCCAAGGTAACTGCTATCGTAGACCCACGTAAATTGTATACACAGTTATGGTTAACGTCAGAAGGGCATCTGCCGACTTTACATGCCACCAAGAAGCATGTTGTCCAGTTGATTGCCTAATTAGTATAAATTTCATTTGAGAGATAAGTAGTTGTTTTAATATATTGCGAAATATTATAATTCCATTTTCAGCTCATAATGAAGACTTGTGTAAGTTAGTTTAAAACCGATCGTTGATTCAATCCCTGTTTAATAAGGTGAGGCTAAAACAAAATTAGCTTTTATCTAGAATTTAAGTATATTTTCAAGTTGATAGCTCCCTAATTATTTGGCTACTATGATTGTCTTTCTATAGTTTGGTTTGTAAAGATTACTTATGTTTTGCGAGTTGATCACGGATTGACATCAGTTAGAGAACCATTGAAAACCAGGGAGTACTGGACAGCTGCTGTTTCATCCTAGTTTGGGAATCATCGCCAGTACGCACCCACTGGGATTCGAACCCAGGACCTTCCGGTTACAAAGCAAGCTCGTATACCATTCAGCCACTGGGACCCAGTGGGTGCGTACTGGCGATGATTCCCAAACTAGGATGAAAAGGCAGCTGTCCAGTACTCCCTGGTTTTCAATGGTTCTTTAACTGATATCAATCCGTGATCAACTCGTAAAACACTATGATTGTAATTCCCAACATACTTACATTATTATTCTTCCCTTGGGCTTCTAGTAGAACATTCTGCCTAATCAACACACATCCACTATGTTATATTTTCTGCTGTTCTCATCACTTGGGTGCACGATTGCTTATAATATCTCCATGTTACACTCGCACCGAAGACAAACTCGTCTCTTCTAATTCGGATTCCACTTAAGCGATGACCTGCCTAGCCCGCGATGTCATTCGACGGTCTCCTGGATGCATTTGCAATCAGTCCACATGCATTTTCTCCTACATACTCGTTGAACGATCTGCTCTAGACTCGTTTGTTCCTAGAGTTTCTTGATGCTAGTTCTTTCTGGCTGACTGGTCATCTGATCGTGAGCATGCAGTGGGCGAAGGGGGCAGATGTTGATAAGAGCCAGAAGTGGCTTTTGCAAGTTTATGACTCGTAGAGCAGAACTGACTGACTAACTTCACATTCGTGTTGAAAACGCGGATCTTGTTGCTTATTCTGGCTGAGTAAGTGCAGAAGATTCGCAAATTGGTTTCAGGTTGATGAACACGTATCTTGTCTTTCCGACAGCTTGTGGTTGAAACGATGCTTGCTACTTAGATAGGTGAGGGAATTAACCTTAATCAAATCTCTCTCATTGATGATGATTGATGCTGGTTGTTATTGCTGGTGATTGGTTATCTTTATCACCTCCTTCTTCTCTATGTTCACCTGCAGTCCTGTCTTCCCTGCCTGCCAGCCACTTCATCAAGTTTTTTGTTTTTCTCCTGCAAGTCTTTGATTTTGTGTGACTTTAAACACAAATCTTTAGTAGTTTAAATAGTTTTTTTGGGGCAGTGTCACTGGCCCCAAGCCCAACCTTCCGTCTTTACCCGGGCTTAGGACCGGATAGAAAACTAGAGGGCGAGTAAACTGGGCAAGGCCCAATGTACTTATGGCTAAGCACAGTTAAATGAAAGCCTAAGGAAATAATAGGTTATTTAATTATTCGCCAGGGCATCGTTGTTGGTGCCACGTTATACGAAAGTAAAAAAAAGATCAGGTGAAAAATTCTGTCACCACTGGTGGATAAAATCGATACCAGCTTACATCTTCCAGGGAATCGTAACGGCGCAAACCTAAGAATCCACTGTAGGAAACATTATAGGATGACAAAACTTTTTCACATTGTTGTAGTGCTTTATTGATAGAATAGTTCACTTTCAATCATTTAGCCAAATACGAACAATGTTTTCACTTTTAAATATACATGAAAAATAGAAGGTATTTTCACAGGAATTCAATAGAACATCTGAATCCATCGTATCAAAATGTATCAGCTTATGAAGAAACATCCACTGTGTATTGACGATTTACATATGGAATCATTCGTTATCAGCAAAGAAAAATGGCAATAAAAACAGATTTATTCTTTGAGGTTTGTTTTAAAAATAGCAGAGAATTTTCAGCCTGCTAAACTGCAAGGTATTCACTTCTTCAGCAACGTCTTCAAGTAGTTTGATTATTGATGGCGAATTACTTGGAGCAATATTTTTTCTATTCCAAGCATTCTTCATTAATCCGCAAAGTTTTCTTTCCATTTACTTGAAGATATTAATAAATTTATGTGTCAGCATTGTTAAAATCTGCACGATAGAAAGTCATGACGTATGAACGTGGATGGATGGTTAAAACCAGGTGAAATGCACTCAATATGATGCATTTTGAGGGATGGCAAAAACTTTGTTAACCTTCAATTTTGGATTCAGTGTAATAAATCCTAAAACAACCACTTGTAACACGTTTCGGACGCTCATCATGATACTTTGCCGTAATTTTTTAAAACTGATATTGGAAACTAAATCCACTGCCTCTTTAAAATATTAGAGATTTGTAGCTCAGGTGGATGATTTGCAATTAATAGTGTTCTCTGAGCTGGTTGGTTTAGATGCGAAGCTTTCACTTTATGATAAAAATTACGCTAAAGAAGTTGCCCAGAAGTACGACGAAAGCTCCGCAACTAAACCAACCAGCTCAGAGCACACTATTAATTCCAAACCACTGCCTCTTTGCCATTGACAAGCAAGTGAAATTCTTGATGTTCGCACAAAAGTTAACGACCACTGTGGTCCGCCAAGTTACCATTGAGAATAGATATTCCCCGATAAAATTATATGGTTGCGATGTCAAATCAATAAAGTCAAATCTTTGTCAGAAGACGTTTTGGCCTCACGATAATGCATTTCTTTTGACAGTCGCAGAACTTAATAAAACATTTGAATTCTCACACTAATTTCCTATATCACTGATACTAATTCACGAGTAACAATGTTCTTGATGGGTAAAAATATTAGCGGACAAATTAATCCTGACTACCTATGTTAAATTACACAAATCCCTAATAGCGAATTTCATTTCTGCTTTCAAGGTAACGCTGTTTGTAGTGGTGGTAAGTGCTATTTGTTTATATTTTGAGTAGTAGTTACATCAGATATGTAAAAGATTTCCCCCATTTCAAATAAGCGAGTTGAGGATTCATGATGCCTTATAGGCACGTAACTTCGGAATTAACTGAATGCTTAAGGAGTTTTTGAAGTGAGAATTCTTTAACTGAGATGAAACTGTTAAAACACACCAAGATCTTAAGTAGTAAAGGGGAAGCGCGTTCACTATATGACCATTTCTTGTGACTCCTTGACTGCAGGCAGGTTGATTACCGAAATTCAACACATAGAAATCAAATGACAGTATAACAGACTTGTGTTAAATTGCATCATAAGTATTCACCACTGAATCTTTATCTGGTCATAGTTTTGAAGCCCTATATTTCATTCTATCACAAAATCAATGAATGTAGTGGTATTAATTGAACAATTTTAAAACCATTTAGATCATGGAGGACCCCAAGATCGTTGTGAGTTATCTTGAAGTTTTTATTTATGATCAAAAGAGCGATTTCTAATTAGGTGTCTTATTTTATCAGAGAAAGTTTTTAATTATCATGAAATCTAGAATTTAGAAAAGGTTTTTTTCGGGAATTGATTTGTTTAAATTTATGGAAATAATATAACGCTTCATTCGATTAGATGCGATATGTTATCTTACTGAAAGTCACCTTCTGAAAGTGCCTAAAATCAAGATGGATTGCATGATATCCATCCAACTTCCTCTTAACGCATTTATGGATTTGCGTTCATTCAAGCATCTAGCAATAGAAAGTAAGAAGTTAACAGACATTTGAATTTCAGTGACATCTCAGTTTCTGAGTGAAAAAATTGTAAACGGATAGTATTCACTTACTTCAGAATGAATGTCGGCTAAATCCAAGTGTCATTTAAATCCGAATTCATTATATGTAAACTGCTTATCGGTGTAGAAAAGCATAAGGATTTTCTATACAAACTAAAATAGTTAGATCTCAGTACATGATCTGCGTGATACTACGATCTGTAACTAAACACATAATGAATACATCATAAAGCCTTAGTCTTTTGTTCTATTAAGATATTACTGTAATTTAATGAAAGTGCAGAGAATGTTTAGTAGGTCAGAAAAAAATATGTATGTCATTTTGTCACCTCCACTGAAGACAGTGATAAAATTGATTTTAATTAATTTTTCACCCCAGTGGATGCAAAAAATTGTCCAGTACCCTCCGCAGGTTTTCCACTGGTTCTCTAACCAGTGTGGACTCATGATGCCAACCTGTAACTGCTCTGAGTCAGCTCACTGAGTGGCCTCTCCAAATCACTGGATCATCTGAATTCCTATTTGACACAGTGTACTAAATTTTTCGCAATTCTTATTGTTCAATTCAATTACAAGGTGTACTCACGCACAATTTTAATTGGCTTTCATATGTCCGAGACGAAGGGCAATTGTCAAAAGGGATTGGTTTTTGCTTGAGATCTACTATAAATTTTTATTTCACTTGAAGACTCTAGATAAGGTGAAAGTATTACGCAAAATAATACGCTGAGAATTCCATATAGTGCGCTAATACTTTGTCCAAAATAAAGTTGTCATTTGATGATATTTTTAGACTGTCTACATTTTCAGACATAAGCAATTTTAGGTTGACTAGTAGTTGGTCAGAAATTAGTTTCAATTTATTGAGATTTGAAGGACATAGTATTAAACAATTTTATTAAGCATCTTCCTGAAATCGTCACCCCTTGTTCGCAGGTTAGAAATTATTCTAAATCATTCATTGAAAGCTAATTAGTCTGAAAGACAGAATTTCGGCCATTTTTTCTTAATATTTCTGATTTCAAATTGAGTTCAAATCAGCAGTATGATATTGTATAACAACATGTTATTTTAGGTTTATTTTCCTGTGGCATCAAATGTAAGAAAAAAAACTATTCTTACATGATACCTAACAAAAAAGTGTATATTACTCATTGAAAAGTTACTGTTGTGCGGAAAATAAAAGGAAGTTCAATTCAATGCAATAAAAACTTCAGTTAACTAGCTATTTGTGCTATGTAAAATTTGACTTTCTCAACGAATTGATATTTGCAAGATGCAAGCACCTTGCTAGTTCCCAGTAAACAATGTCAAAGTTAATTATATCTATTCCAAATGAATAACTTTCAAACCATGAGTATTTTTTCCTCCTAGCGAATTAAACAATCACTCTACTTCATGGTGATATTAAAGCATGTTTTCTGATAGCCATAACTAGGCAGCTGACTCCAAAGTTAAATATATGCAAGTGCATCTTCAAGATTTCACACTAGTAAATATGAGCTATTTGATAAGAAAAATACCTTTCAACTTGTCACCCAGTGAGTCTCATTAAGACTAGTTTTCCTAGGAGACGTAGGCTTTAACATCAATCTGTTTATAAGTGTTATATATCGCATTGTGTTACGGTGAAACAATTTTATGGAAATATAGAAACTAAATGATTGAAAATCAAGCTTTTTGGTATGATGATTTCATGTAAACTGCTTAAACTGGTAGTTCTAGCCATTTCAGAATCTTGGTCTCTCTTTGGACGTGAAGTAAACTTGAATGTCATGGACAATTTATAAATAAGAATAACGTTTGGGTTAATATTGGTAGTTTACTGTGAAAGCAATTACTTTTCAATCTGTTTGATTCAGTTAATTTGCTCTGAATGACAATTTATGTGGAAATCACTACTGTACATATAAGGATTTTATACTTTCCAAACAATTTTAGATCCGACTGGTGCGTTCTGTGGTAAGTAATGCGTTTTAATTTCGAAATTGAGTGAATAAATTCTTTTACTATGCCCGAACAGCATGGTTCATAAATATCCCAAACATAGCTATGAAAGCCGGAACGCTTTTCTTAAGCATATTTTTCAGTTATTTCAATTTATTTTTCATACCTTTCTCGGTAATTCTGATAGAAATTACTTCAGTACTGTCAGCATTCAGCATAAACACTGGATAACATGATTGCTTGATACTTTTCGAAATATTTTTAGTAGGTGGAACGGGCTCAAATAATAATAATAACTGTGGTAAGTTATATATTATGATTAAGACTCTATGTGAACTTAAGACTTTTGGATTTGTGTCACTTTATTTTGCAGCAATAAAATTAGTCATAATATCATCTGACCAACTGTTAACATGATCATTTGCACCTCTTCAGTTAATAATAAGAAATGAATTAGTCGAAAGTCCGTTCTGTACTTCCAGGAAACTGTTCAAGGTTTTCATAGCTTAAAAAACAACAGATATTTCCCGAAAATTTGTTTGCATTCAGTAACTGACTGTTTATTGAGAGTAGATCGGTTTTTGAATGATTTGGCTCTCTGAACTGAATCATACCTAGCACAATGTTGACAAGCTTGGCCGTCTGTAGTTTGGATAACTTCGATGGATGACTTCTAGTAAACAAGGCTAATTGATATGAGTGATGCCCAACTATTCATCCTGCCCAATCAGTAGTATGTAGAGCTACACATTTTTCTAAGAATTTCTGTGAATAATTATATTTTACTACAAAATTCAATGATAGACAAATGTAAAGATTTACAAAGAAAATATAAAGGAAATAGTACATTTACGTTGAACATTTTACACGGAGACTCAGTTATTTCACTACAGGCAAAATGTTGTAACAACAGAAGGCAAGATACGGATGTCAAGGTATATTTTCCATTATTCAGATATCTATTTATATGTATACAGTTTATATTTCTTAACCAATCTCTGAGCGTGTGATTTTGGTCCACATTTAACGACCTGAAATAGAATGTTCAAATATACATGGTATTCTGTTGCTGATGAAGTACTGAACTGAGGGAATACGCGAGCATAATATTCCGTTGGTACACATTGTCTGTATCACACCATCACAGTGTAACTCCTTGCTGAGACTAATACAGTCTCACAAACTTTACACTCTGGAAGCTGAGATCCATTGTTAGTACTTTTCACACAAAGAATAATGCAATAACAGGACTGATACAGTGAGAAGAGTAGGTAAAGTAGAAGCGCTTGATCTTTTGTATAACTGAAGAATTATTCCTCATCTATTCAAGTCTTTTCCGTCAAAATTACAGATTTGCTCTGGAACACTAGATAAAGGAATGATTATAAGGACGGTAAACCTTCCGCGTGGAATATAGGGCTTTAGAGGCATGTCTTGTAGACTCATTTCCCTATCATCAATTTCAACTGTCTCCGCGTCTCAAAAACAGCTTTTGTCTAGTCCTTAAATCCGCGGCACCCTTATACACCCAACTTGTTATTTTACATTCGAGGGTCTAAGGGGTGTGATGCTAGTGGAATATTTTTTCAGTGCTTACGTAAACTGACTCCATATCCTTCTTCGTATTTATTAGGTAAATGGTTCCTTATTGGTTAACTTCTTGTCATAGTTCCTGGTTATTTTTGTAACAGTATCGCTATTTGGTAAAATTATGTACACTTTATCTTCAAATCATCATTTGCATAGATACTCCATGTTGTTTTGTTTTTGTCCTTCATACTGTGTTTCTTAGTGTTCCTTTTACCTGATTCATGCTTCTCCACAACACTGAATCATTTGCTTTCTCTCACTTTAAACCTACCACCCTACTAATTGATATTTTTATGCTGTTGAACACTTCTTTATATACTACTGATAAATCTTATCAGCACACGACACACATGTCCTTTCTGAGCAGTCATCTGACTATCAATAGTTAGCAAAGGCAGGTAGTGATGATGTGGTGGTTGCTAAGAATGCTTTCATTAACTCGCGCATCTTGTGTCTGAATAATGTAGATAGATTGAATTGACATTATTATTAAATTTCTAGTCTTGTACCTTGTCTTATAGAAGAGAAGAAGTTCCTATTATTTGAAAATGATCGAATTCACTGGCATTTTGAAATGACTTCAGGCTTTCTAATGCTAACTCTATAATGTATGATTGTTTGCATGTTTTGTACACGAATTCGTTAGTTTTACTGTATGCATATTTGTTTATACACTAATAAATTTTGTTTACACTGTTATTACATTTCAGATTACAGTGGATATGATGAATGTAAGAAAACTTTCTAATTATGTGCTTATCACAATTAAATTTAACTAATTTTAATTTGAACGGCAATATTTATTACTTGATTGAATGAAGTCATAGGGTGTGCAAAAAATAGCTAATTAACTGAAATGCCTAAAATATAAAAGATCGATAATATTCACTTCAACAGTTCATACTTTGCACTATTGAAAATAAAGCGAATAGAAAATACTGGATGATGTTTAGACTGGTAACTTTTTCTTTAGCTATTCTACCCATTACTGGTATATAAATATAAAGTGTAATTGTATAACCGTTTACTTTTGTGAAAGAATTAGTTTTTTATCTCTACAGCATGTAACTGTAACAACAGAAGACAAGGGCCAGGCAACAGATCGTTTTATTATGAAAATCAACACGTATTTATACATATTTCACATACATTATTATAGACAAGCGCAGTCATCTGATTGGTTGTTTATCAGAAGTTAGGCAGACAAACGCAGGCTTCTGATTGGTTGTTTCGGGATTCCTCGACAAATAGAGTTCTCTATCTGCGAATCATATTTTGCCACGTTAACTTTGCTGTGATTGGTTGTTGAATCAGCCTTGCTCATATTTTCTCACGGCCTGCTCTCACCACATAACGACTTTAACCGCAGAGTAACTGAATTGCGTGACAAAGTCACTGCTCCTTTCAGAAGTCAGTCATAAGAGGACCTAATGTTCTGGAAATATTGGGGGTGATGTTTAAAGGAATACTGTATAAATCCAGTTTTACGTACAACCACCAGAATCCACGTATTTCTGTCTGGACGTCGAAAACATATCATGGGTTATTTTGTATGGCTTATCAAGCAATCGAACATGTTACACAGTCCAAATTTAAATTCAGATAATGTCAGAAATACTCTATGATGTGATAGAATAAGTGTTACTATCCAAAAATAATAATTTATATTAAAAAGCTACTGGAATGGCGCCATCTATCAGCTGTACAGTCCCAAATTTTCTCAATTACAAAACGCATACTGTAAGATGATGTTAACTGGCTAAACACGATGGTAAACTACGCCAGAATCAATAAATATATATTCCCAACAAATCAGGATCTGCAAAAATCAAACAGAAAAAAAACCTACCCAATAGAAGGTCCAAACAAGGTTAAACAGTCACTCCACAGATTCATTCAGACAGAATTGCAGTCATAAAGCAACGCATTACACACAGCGGTAGGGTGAAACAATGAAGATAGGGAAGAACCAAAAATGAAGATAAATTAATGAAAAAAAATATGTGAATATTAGACCGGTGACATATAGATCAGGGGAATTAGGGTAGCGATAAAAAATCAATTGAAATAAAAAAAAAGTATCACTAATAAAGATGGAGTGTTCAGAAGGAATTTCCCTATCACTTCTTCTGCCACATTAAGTATATTATATGCGTGAAATCTGATTCTTTTAAAATCAATCAGTGAACTGAATAAAGTTCAAGAAACCGTCCATTACTCAAAAAGATACTTAAAGTTGAACTTTCACAACTAGGAAATCACCCAACTTAGTTTATTTAATATCTTTTCGAAGTAAATACAAAAAACCAACTTCACTGGCATATATTTGCCTGCACATGCGTAAGGGGCTGTGGCCTAATTAAAGAATAACATGACAGTTAAACTTCTAATTGAAGGTGTTTTCCTCCACATATCACGTTCCCGTGTAGATGATGAACTTTACAAATCTAACACCAACAAGAACTAAAGAAAGTTTACATAAATTGGGACAATGTAAACTAAACCTACATTTAACTAGAAAAGAAGTAAAGTTGGCAAGTTACGGCATTCAAGGCATTACGTTTCGGGATATTGAGGACGCTGATCTGAAAACGAACATGATTTATAAGCTATAACTTTCGCCGAAATAACACCTTGGAAAAAATAATCACAGCCGAATGAATATACACTCTGTTAAGTAAACTTTTAACTGAATTTTAGGTAAAACGCAGTGCTATAACCTGGATGCAAAGTAAGTTATCCCTTAAGATGCTTATCTGGATTGAAACAGTATGAAAATTATCGATACAAAGAAAATTGTCCTCTTCCAGTATCTTTTGACTACTTTTTTGATTAAATGTAATTTATCCCTTTTGATAAACAGTGGACTGTAACAGTGATAAATGAACGGGTTAATGTATTACGAATAAAACAAGACACATTGTTCAGCGACTAATCTCTTTTCGACGGTGAATTCATTCACTTAGTTAGCTGTACAATCGGAATTATACATACTTATTTGAAATGTGTGTTTACTTTGGTTTTGTCCGATTAGAATAAGGGTTATTGTTGTTAAGACATTTCAAAAATTTGATGAGCAATCAAACTCTAACTGCGGGGGGTGCAGTGATGATTGGTAAGAGTGTAGTGGTGATGAGTTGTCAGAGGTAAGGAACTTACTAAGAGATAAAAGATGTTAAATAAGCTAAATAAGCGTAATACATTTACGTAACAAGATGAGTAGTTTAATGAGTGAGTTGTGACTAGGATGTACATAGAGAGAACGGAGAAAACTGAATTGTGTAAGAGTTGCGAAATGACAAATGTTATAAGGAGTAAGAGAAAACACAAGCACACCAACATGAAGTCAGTAGAAGTCAATATGGTTGTTACCATGATATTAGAAGTGGTTGGATGATCTTATTTTGTATACATAACTCTCGTTTCTCCAACTGATTAGCTAAGTCTTCACCAACAGACAGGAGCCAAAAGCGTTTTGCCTTTGGTAGGTTGCTTTTCACTCTGTGGGTCACTTTGAAGGAGAAGTTTGTTGAGGTGGCATGACCAGTGTTGACGAGATGTTCGATCATCTCACTGCTTATACAGCCACTACTATCTTTCTTCAGCCATGCGGGATAGAATTCTTGAGCGCTTTTGGACAGGATACTCGTCGAATGACCAGTGTACGTGCCTCCACAGCAACAGGTGAACTGATATATACACATAGAAGTGACAAGATGTAGGATCTTGCCCTTAAGGCTTATGCGGATCAATGGATAACTGCAGAACATTACTCTTAGCGTTGATGCGAAGAATGTTCTTTTCATAGATGCTGAAATTCTTCCTTTGAGTGCGGATGTCGTAAGCTTAGTCTCCCTGAAATCCAGATTAACGTAAAGTGTCTCTTGTGAAACAAGTGATATTTAGTTTCTCTGGACCTTTCGTTTGATATTCTTGTCGACAAATCTTGGCAAGTGTCCATTTGGGATGAAGGTTTCTTTGAGAAGATTTAGTTTAGCAAACAAGTACATTTTAATTAGTTTCATGTAAATAGGTAGGAAAACGTATGATATTTTATTTAAACCCTAATTCATTCAACTATCATTTATCTGAAAACACATCTTTCCCATAGTAAATTTAAAACAATCAACAACTGTGATAAAAGCAGCAGTATTTAATGAATTCATTCGTTTATTTGTTCTACGCAATTCGTTAGATAAATGAAATGTCATTAGGACTGTAAGTTTCATATATTAAAAAATTAAATAAGTAAAATGAGTGATGCATAGTTATTGAAATACTCGCTGGTGATATTGATGAGGGGTGACGCTAATAACCGCTAACTGAGAAAAAGTTAAAATTCATCAAATCGCCATTGGATTCCAGCTTAAACAGCTGGATAATAAGCAGGCACACCTGAAGGTCATATGTTCGAACCCTGGTAGAGTGAATGTTGTGTACTACTAAAGAGCCCACAAGAAGAGAGGAGAAACGGTTGTCCGGCACTTCTTGGCCAATAAACTTGAAATCATTTTAATATTAACAATCCTTACAGGCATAACAGTCTTTCACTGATTTTAAGATTTTAAACACGACTGACTTTATTTATAATGAGTGGATTGAATTCAGAATGAGATTTCATATTAATTTTTCGATGTATTCAAACTGATCCCTAAAGAATGCAGATGAATACATCTTTGAAGGATTATTTTCTCTTAGTTAACAAAGCGACTGTGTTTTGGTTATAATACAACTCGACATAAACTGTATTCATCTAAAAACTTACTTCATTATGCAACACTCCTACAAGATGTCACAGGTAGTCAACCTTTGTTCCTTAATGGTTTAAAGGCAGAATATTATTCTTCTACTCATATAATCCAGATTTCGAATCCCAGCTGGCGCATCCCTTTACCTCACTTAACCGCTAGTAAGCCTAGCAAACAAGGAAGGACGTATTTGAGGTTAACAACCTTGCCACTCAACAAATAGACACTACTGCCACTGAAACTTCAAAGTTAATCTTCACACCGTATGTCCCACTTGAAACGCAAAGGATTAAGAAAGTGAATTGGTCATTATCAACATGTAGAGCGATTGTTCAATGATATGGAATTCGTCGATTTAGCTAACCGCATGACATTCTGCTTCCTTCATGGTCATAATTTTTATAGTCATATTTAATGTTAGTGTTGTTGATGCATGGCTAACAGTCCAGTGTATTAGACGTCTAGCTTGATATATATATAGACAGGAATTAATCTAATTCTCGGAAGAGCGATTTCCCCATCTTCATTCCTTTCAAATACCTTGAATTACGGGACGATTATTTACTTTACTAATAGTGTTTATTTCACTCTCTACAAACTAAGCTTGTAAACATTCTCCATATTTAATTATTAATTTTCAAACAAATTGTTTATTCTTTAATCAGTTATATTAAAATAGTGAAAGTAAAAGGTAATGCATGAAACGACTCTGTACTCATAATTTGTAAATTCATGTCTTGCTTTTCTTTATTTTGTTTTAGCCACCCACGAAGTTGAAACTGAATCTTCGTCTACTGATAAAGCTCAATGATTTAATTGGTGTTTACAAACTGTTTTATCATTTTCTGTGTGTTATTCGTTTAACAACATTATCTAACTAACTTATATATTATTATGTAAAAATGTCACTTTTAAATAGACGCTTCAGGTTATGTATTTTAAAGTTTTGATTTCGAGATTGTTACAATACTACCTACTGCATTTGTTATATATTCATGATAATGGAAATGGTTTTATTTCAAGCACTAATTTTGATGCAATTTGAAATTCTCAGCATGTTATGCAATATTCTATAAATATACATATAGAATACAATTTCTAACTTTCTGTTAAAATAATACAGAGAAGGACAATGACAACGCTATATTATTGATTTTTCACTGGTTAAAGTCCCCACTGAAGCATACAGCTTCAAGTTAGAGGCTTGAAGTTTCAGTGACGGTGCGTTTATTTTTACAGGATGGGATTGCTAGCCTAATGCCCAATCTTCCCAATTTACGAGCATTAATGCTGGCTTAGCGACGTAAAAGAGTACCTCGTTGGCAGGGGATCGAACACTGGACGTCAGGTGTGGTCTGGGAGGATTCTACATTTGTGCCACAGACGCACTATATTATTAATAGGTTAAATGAAAAGGATCGTTTATCTGATGTTACAGAGTAAGTTATTAGTGCCATACCTTATGCTTTTCTAATCGCATAAAATGCTTCACAAATTAGGTGTAGTAGAGTTTTTTTGGTTATTCGTCCAAGCATCATAATTACTTATAAAATTATATTTGTAAAATCTCAGCGAAATTGAAATGAGTAATTCCAACGTTTCGTTCGGCAATCTGATCCGAACTTCTTCAGGGAAATTAATCGAAATTGACATAACAGAGGTTTATATATAAATGGAACATCTCTTGTTTTTTTAAATTTTGTCCACTCATGAGCCATGAAACAGGCGTCAAAATGTATAATAAACAAAATTGTATGTTTATATATAAAAGGATATCTTTTGTTTTCATATGAAAGACAAACAATTTAAAACAGGTGATATCCTTTTATATATAAACATACAATTTTGTTTATTATACATGTTGATGCCTGTTTCATGGCTCATGAGTGGACAAAATTTAAAAAAACAAGAGATGTTCCATTTATATATAAACCTCTGTTATGTCAATTTCGATTAATTTCCCTGAATAAGTTCGGATCAGATTGCCGAACGAAACGTTGGAATTACTCATTTCAATTTCGCTGAGATTTTACAAATATAATTTTATAAATGCCTACGTCTCACTCGGCGCTTAATTATTTTCAACTATTCGGTCAAATCCTGATCACAGTTTATATTCATAATTATTATTATTATTGCTTCCTTTAGTTCCTAGAGGAACAAAGGGCCTCAGCCCCACGTCCCCATTGAGCTTGGTTCTCTGTCAACGTTTTCACCTGGCTCCACGTCTGCTCACATGCTTTCATCTGCTCCTCGCATCACCTCCTCCTCCATGTTACCCTCACACTGAAGAACAGCTAACTAGCCGCTTCTAATTCAGGTTCCACTCGAGCGATGGCCTAGCACGTGATGTCCCTTGATGGTTTCCTTGGAGTCTGGCCAATAGACCTCAATTTCTTCCTGCATATTTGTCGCACAGCCGGTTGCTTCTGGGTTGTTTCGCTCATTGCCGTAGATTCCTGCTGCTAATCTTTTCTGGCTGGCCATCTGATTTTGAGTATTGAGCGAAGACAGCTGTTAATGATAATGCGTAGTTTGCTCGAAGTGCCCTTCATGACGCGCTTAGTCTCTGATTCACATAGTCAGTAGTACTGACTTCATATTGGAGTTGAAAATCCGGATCTTATTTTGCATGCCGTGTTGTTGACCCCCATACAAACTTGAGAGAAATGAAAGCTTAAAGTGTTTTATAATTGTTTCTAGCCCCACTCGATGAAACACAATGAGAGAGTCGTGGGTAAAGAGGCCGCTTAAAAACCGACAAGATAATATTCATTAGTATCTTGAGCGCATTCAGGGTCTATCTATAGAACAGTATCAACAAGCTGAATAAAGCCTGGACAAAATGTTTGTACAGAATAAGATGGTACCATCATTCACTTCATTGGTTTCTCATCAGCTGCTTACGGTTTAAAGAAATTATTAAGTTCATCAAGAGAAATATTTTTAAAAACCTTAACATGTTACATGAGGTCAGCTGACAGGAGGCTCCAAACTTAATAAACGAGTTGGTACAGTGGTACCCTACTCGCCGTACTGACTACTTTCAGTCCCCTTTTGCAGTGTAAAATGATCTTTCTTGATTAAACTATGAAAGGTTAAGAGGAGGCAATAAAGAAGAATAGGTGGAACACAAGAATTAACAAATTATAAGAGCAGAGATGGGTGGCACTAGATTGTCTTAAATTCCTTACGTAGCGCGTTTAAAAGGGGTAGAACATTAGTAATAATAATAATAACAGTTAATAAATAAGACATATTACCACTGCAGATTCAGAGTGACCACCGTTCATACCGTGGCGAAATTTCTCACTTACTAACTGTTATTGTTAGTATTCTTATTATATCTCTTATTATTATTATCTTCGATTCATTTGAAAGTATATTTTGTCAGTAATATAATCTTAACATTATTATTATTACCACTACTAGTATTATCAGTAGTAGTGGCATGCAATTCCATATATATTCAAGCTCTTTGATTGTTTATTGAAGTAATGTAATTGAACCGTAATCCACTGTAATCTTAATTATAATCTGTCACAATCCATTCCATTTATCTATTTGAACATGATCTGAAAAGCTTTTATACCTGTTGTTTTCATTGACTGATGAATTCATTAATTCATGCCTAGTTAAACTTGCTGCTTATTTTAAATTGTTAGAGATAAATAAATGTTTAAATCTCCTTCACGTATCTTGGATATATGATTTCAGTTCTACTTAACAAATCCTGCCATACATGATGGATTTTAGACTGGGTAATGTCGTATGGGAACTGGAAAATGAGCTATTATTTTGTACATATATGGGAGCATATCAAAATTTACTATTCGCTGGCTGATTTTTCATTTATGTAAAGTAATAAGAGGCAGAGTCAGAAATCAAGCAGTTCAGTGAAGATATCTTTCCGGTGACTTCGTGCTCGAAAGTGTAAGTGAATAAATCACTTTGGGAATAGAGAGCAGGATCATACAGTACAGGATTAAAAGATAGTTACCTGATATTTAAAATGGCTTTATTTCATGGAAATAAGGTGTGAATGGAATGTGAATAAGAATGAGCAGTGTGCATAAATCAGCTGACTATGTTATTGTGGATCCAGGTAACGAATTGTTTCTCTCCAAGTGTTTTGGAAACGCGTCAGATAATATTATTCAGGATGGCTAGAAATCAGGCTGCACTTGAGCGATTAGAGGTTGCCAGGCTGAATGTTTTAGTGACTTACATTGTTATTAGAATTAAATTGATTCTCTGAATGTGTTGTATTCGCTTCCCTGACAGTCTACTTTGTCGCATTACTGGTTCAATAATATCTATTCATATATATTACAGGCACAAACTCACATGGCTTATACAGAGAAATATCACAGCCGACTGGCATATAACTGTTTTTCCAGAGTTGGTCTGTAATCACTAGATTTGTTTTTACGAGTTTGATCACGGATAGGGATCATTTGGAGTACTGTACAAGTGTTAAAAATGAATCTCAAATTATAAAGTAGATTACGTTGTAGCTAACGTTTAAAGTCGTTTTTATAGCTGGTTAGATTAGTTACCCTCACAGTTTGCTTGGTCGGATTACTGGCAGAATATATGCCCACTTCTATAACCTAGCATGCACTGATGCGTATTTTAGCGACACGAATCACAGCTAACTCAGTCATATTTTTTCTTATTCTGGGAATCATAAGTGCAGACCACTGTTTGAGATAATAAACCTGTGGTATTCGGTGTCCTCTGTATGATGACCTGTCAGACAGCTTCTATCATAATTCACTTTCATTTCGAATATACGTGGTAGTGAGCGCAAATGAAATGAGGAGTGTTTCTTCAAGATCCACTGTGTTGAAGCAGATTCAGATATGCTGTCAAACATAAAAAATTCAAAAGAGATAGTCACGTATTCTGCGTGTTTACTCTGGTACTGTCTAGTGGAAAGAATCTGCTGATCCGAAAATTGATGAATATTGTTAACCGAGCTGTGGCGAGTCCTACTGATAAGATTTATGAGTAGTATGTTGAGAGGCGTTCATCGGGGTGAAACGATGAGATACCACGGAAATATTTCTGTTTCGGGAAAGCAAAATAAAATAGAATTATTGAGGGGCGTGAAAGAATTGAAAAGAAAACAAAGAGGCACATTATGAAGACCAGAAGTATCACAACTCGCTGATCTGTGGAAATGGTGCGTTGAAGACCGGGTATACATAATTCAGCTATGTAGAGATATCAACTTCTAGATAAACATTCCTTTCGCAAGTCTTTGTCTGCTGCCGTTTCACTACCAAATTATAAAATTTCATAAAGAAAATCGGTTCTCAAATTATCGGACACCAGTTTGTTCAGTTATAAACTCTAAGAATTTATATTAACTCAATAATAACCACCGGGGTTTTCATTTACACGAACTGACTGTTGTCATTCAGTGTCCAATGAATAACTTGAGATATGAGTGAAGACAGAAATCTAAAAAAAAGTGAAGCTTATATTCCGAATGCGAGTGAAGCGGCATTTTACTCCACTGTATGTCATCATCTAATGTGTACTGGATTTTATAAATCCCCCTTTATAATGCTAAAGCTAATTATCACTGATTCAAAAGACTTTTTTGACAGTTAATCCTGTAGAGAGAGAGAGAGTCAGCTGTGAGATGTATAACTTCTTGCTGAAATGTCTGACGTTAGAGTTGAGTTGGAAATCGTAGAATACCGCACAAGGTATAGGTTTTCTGCAACCATGCATAGACCTTCAAAAATCTAAATATTTTAATATCAGTTCATTTCAAAAGTTAACTTTCTTTATCCCGTAGTGACTCAGGAAATCTTCTTCAAACTGTAAATCATCTTTAAATACGACAACACATTTTGCATACAAATCCTGCCAGATATGATCAATTTAACACTCGAGGTTGTTGGTATGAGAAATGGAAGATGAACTATTATTTTGTACATAGATGACTGCATATCACGTTTTAGCACTCGGTAGCTGATTGTTCAGTATCGTATGTTACGGAAACGGAGACAGAAAAGTGGGAGTACAGAAAGGTTATCTTTTCGATCTCTGCGTTCCTGAAAATGTTTGAATATACATCACATACTCGTCGGTGTCACAGCGGTTAGGACTCCGTCGACCATGCACATGGTGCAGGGTTTGGCCCACTACAGTCGTACACCTAATATCTATTGTCGGCCGGTAAAATTTGGGCTCTCGATATCGCATACCGAAAATTCCGTATCTGAA